CGAACTCGGCGGGGGGACTCCAGAAACACCAACAAAAGGAGAGAGAGGAGAGAGGGAAGCGCGAGGAGAGAGAGAAAGGAGAACCGGGAAGAGAGCGCACGGAAGGCGAGGAAGGACAGAAACACATATGCGAGGAGGAGAGAGGAACAGAGAGAGAGTGAGAGCAGCAGTTGTTCATCATGCTGCGTTCAGCATGAGATGAGAGCGAACGAGAAACAAAAAAAATGAAAAGGCATCAAGAGAAAGAGATCGGGAGGGCCGCGTTGCTTCTTAGGATGTTCTGACCTTTGCCCCCAATTTCCTTCAACGAATGCCTATGGCCAAGCGCCTACAGCGTGCACGGGAACCCCTATGTGCTGCGAAGCCTTTTTCACGACACCGCAACCCTCTTCAAGAGAGAGACCCTCTCTACCACTCTACGTTTCACCCTCTCTCTGTGGTTCTCTCGGGGCAGGGGCCGGTTTCGCCCAGCATCTCCCATGCCCAGAGCCTCAGAAGTTCAGGTCACGACCTCACACCTCCAGCGGAGGGTACACCCGCCTGGAGTGCAATGCATAGAGCACCCTGCGAATGACCACCCGAACTACGTCCCCGTGTGAGTGTGAAGACGGGGCTTCTGGCTAGCCCGCCCAGTTCCGGAGAACGGCTGCGTACCAGATCGAGCGTGAACAAGCTGACTGAGCTGAGTGTGAGCCAGTGTCGAATCGTCGCCTCCTGGTGCATGCACCATGGGGTTGCTGATGTTGCTGTTGCTGCTTCTCGTGTGCGTGAAGCCTGCAGCTCCAGTGCCCTTGCCAAAAGAAAGCTGTGGGGCACCAAGTACCTCCCCCCCCCCCCCCGGAGACTTGTGACCCGGTCTTCCCGGTCTTCCCCAGGGCTGACCCACAATCCCCAGACACCTCAGCTCTTTGAGAGCAAGGACACGACGTACAGCGACTCGTGCGGAATCACCATGCTCACGCGGATGCGCTGGGCCGGGCCGAGGCGGGTCGCGTAGCGTTAAAATTAGTTGGACCAGGTCTACCCGGCTGGGGAACCCACCACGAAGTTTGTAGAGGTTTTGGGCGCGCCAATACCACCAAGAACATGCCGCACACCCCCCCGGTCTTGCACACTTTGTCGCTGTATCACCCCCTTGGTCGAAACCTCAGCCAACTTGCCAGGAGCTTGTAGAGAATGGCCGTACGGATAACCTCTTGCTATTTCGCTTGTGCCCGAACACTGCTATGTATGGCTCAAGCCAGAAACCGAGTCCCTTTGGGCCCGTGGACTAAACCCCCTGGGCAACTCGCAGACCGTCGTGCGCAAAAGGAAGCATCGAGGCTGCTATCTCTGGTTCCCAAAGGCTTCCGCAGCACCACAGCCGTTGCGAACAACATTTTGTTTCTAATAGGAGTGGGTTCTCTCGGCTTGAGGCGCGCAGTCGTTGAGCGAGAAGGGCCTTGGTCTCCAAATGCTTTGATTGGGGTGACTCAAAACGGGGCGGAGTGAGAGAGAGTGAGAGAGAGTGAGTGAGAGAGTGAGAGGGAGTGAGAGAGAGAGTGAGAGAGTGAGAGAGTGAGCTTCAGAGAGTGTGAGAGAGTGTCTGGGGCCGGCTGCTGAGGCTGTCGGCTCTGCGAATAGTCCATTGCCATCCTGGAGATTCTCTGGGCTCCCTGAGTGGCTCTATGCTGTGGCGCCCTGTGGTGCCCTGTGGCTCCTTGGAGAGATCGCGGTTCACGAAGATCAAGCCTCCGGTGGTGGCAGAAGCAAAGAAGACGACATCTCCCGACCCAGCACAGCTCCCAGAGCCCCCCGGAATAGAGGTCTCAAGGTCCTGGCTTACACAGATGGAGAGCAGGGAGAGCGCAAAGCCTCCAATGGCCACGGCCTCAAAAAGCTAAGGGGGTCGTTTCTGATTTCCGGAAAAATCGGCTCTCCACAAGTATACCTTGCACAGCGAACTGAGACGAAGGCGATGATGAAGTAGGGGGCCTCACCGACCTCTGAAAGGCAGTAATGGTGCCCTTGACAGCCCAGGATCAACATGCGAGGCCATCCCCCGCATCTCTCGTCCCGTGCGTCCCGCCAAGCGTGCCCCGCATTGCCGCGTCCCGCGTGTTCCGCCGCCGCGCGTCCTACATCCCTCCTAGAAGCTAGACCCTACGTTTTGAGCCAAAGCCTCACGGTCTGGAGTCTGGACACTTGTGTAGGGGCGCTCCAGCCAGTCCCAGACCCCGGCGTCCGGCAAGCACAGATGCAAAGCTCAAGGCGGAGCCACGACGAGCTGCTAAGGAGGTGCGAGGGCCCTTTGTTTCGAACCCAATTTTCCAGTAAGGTAAGAGTCAAGGTTTGCCAAAAGAGAGATGAGCTAACTCCTTCATGGGGCGGCATGGGGAACAAACTGGGAGCATCCTAAGATGTGCGAGGACGGAGCACGTCAAAATGACGGAGCGGGCTGAAGGGTTGTGGACTTCACCGAAGGAGCCATGTGGCAGCTCAGCCAACCCCCACCCCACCACCACCCCCAACCCCAACACCACCCACCCCCGCTCCCACCACCCCCACCACCACCCCGCCCACCACCCCCCGCGCCCACCGCCCCCGCCACCCCCGCCCCCACCACCCCCACACCACCTCACCACCCACCACCAAGGGTCGCGCCGGCGCCTGCAGCTGACCAGCAGGGGATGGATGGTGAAACAACTATGGCGACCGTCTTGGGCACCAGGCAGCTCGCAAACTGTCCGGAGCCACAATGCTGCCACTCAACATGAGACGGCGAATCGCGTGCCAATCGCGACAGTGCACGGACGCAGCAGAGTCAAGAATAAGAGTCTGGCGATTACGAAACGTGAGTGACTAAGCCGAGCGAGCTAAAACAGCGCACCGGGCCAAACCCGGCGCAGGGTCCCAACCAAGACTCGGAGTTTGGAAGGTACGAAGCACCGAAGCACGGTAAAGGAGCAAACATGCGCAAACTAATGAAAACTGGGCCTGAGCTATCGAGATGCCAGGGGCATCCCACGATAAGAAAAGTCCGTGTCACCTGGCACATCCAGTGGCCTATGCAGTCATACGCAAAAAGCGTCCCATGTCATAGAGCGCCCCTGCCCGCATGCACGATAACTTCTGCAAGGCCGCGTCCCGCCCCTGCAGCCCCACGTCCCCGCCCCACCCGACCCCCAGCGTCCCCGGAACCCGCCACGCTCCCCGCATCCCGCGGGGGCACGGGAAGATAGACGGAAGAGGAAGGCCAATGAGAAGGGGAAAGCCGCACAAAAGAGACCCCGCACTGCAAGACTCTGAAACCCACCTTCGTCTGGACTCGCGTTTGGGCGAGCTTCACCACCTCGGAAAACAATTGAAAACAGGTATGCAACCTGGGGAGCCTCCCCATTTTGCAGCCGAAAAGCCTCCTGGATTTGATTCAGGATAACCGGGTGCGAGGACCTGAGAATCTAGCAACTTTGCCGAAATACATCTGACATCTTACGAATCCCACGTGCAGGACAAGAGCTGAGAGCTCTCCACCAGGGATGAAAAGGGAATTGCATCGCTGTTGATTTGTCCGCTTTCTCCGGTCTTCGGCTCCTCTTGGGCGCAACATGACACAACGTTTGGATCTCACCGGCCGACAGAATTCTACTGGTGTTCTGCTAGATTGCTGCTACAACAACTCTTGGTCCTGTCTGTGAATGTTCGGCCGCTTCAGGCTGGAAGACTGAAGCAGATGCACCCTGAGCTCATGAAGCACTCCTGTTCAACTGTGCGACTGGCAAAAGCGCTGCTACTTGTTCTGGCGAACACGAGGACTTTGCAAACTTGGGGGTGCTGGACTTTTGACGTCCTTGAAGTCTGTGAAGTCTACCAGCACTTATTGCTGCTGCCCGGTTTCCGTTGGAGTTTTCTACGAACTTTTTCAGCGGATGGGTGAAGAGCTTTCCATCGTAACCAAGACAAGGTTCAGTGCTTAGCTCGATGGCATGAAACATTGTTTTCGAGCGAGAGCATCGACGAGACATGCAGAGACTCGGGCGCCGGCCCCGTGTTGCATGCGGAGTCCTGTCTCAGTGCTGATTCAATGTGACTTGCCACAGTGACTGTTCAGACTGCGTTCCAGCCTGCATGAGTTACACCTTGATCGTCTGACAATGACTAAAGGGCCTCGGCCTCCTTGAAGACCGCGGAGCTGGACCTGGGCGGAAGCTTTGTCTATTTTCTGCGGACTCTTCGCAGGCTATTCAGTATTTGACAGATCCTGCCATGAGAAAGGCATGCGCAAAAAGGGCGTTTGGAGACTTGAAAGGCCGCACTTTGGTTTGCGCATGAATCGGGACCGCTTTCGTCGCTTTCTCTTCACCTTGTCTCAGCCCTGAGCGCGGAGGCGTGGAGTGCCAACTGTGCCAAGACCACCTTGAGAAGGTAAAGGAGGCGACCGTTCACCCGCCACACATGGGCAAGGGGCGTACAGCAGTGTATGGGAGGTCTGATGCTCTTTTTGCTTGCAATCCTTCTCAACTTCTTTCTAGGACCCCAACCAGAAGGCAAGTCATGTCGTGAAAATCGACCTGTGCAGCACGTCGACTGTCCGGCACATTGACTGATGATCAATTCCAATGTAGAATTGTAATTAGACCTCAACCGAGCTCAGCCCAGCGCGCGAGGGGTTTTCGCGCCTGAGAACCAGGCTGAGGCAGTTCTCAACCAACAGGCATACGCACATGATCGAACATGATCGCACAAGCGAGCATGCTGTGGGGCCGTGGCGTGTACCGGTTCGCTATGTGTCGACGGCACTAGGCATTGAGCCATGAGACGCAGCGTGGAAAATCGTCTGCAAGGGCTGAGTGCGCTGTGTCATGTAAAAACCCTGCCGTCTCTCGACGACAATTGAAATTGATGCTTTGGCTGATGTTTCAGTGATTGTTTTCACTGTTTTCGCACCTCAACGCTATGGCGGCCCCTCTAGGACTGCAGAATCTGCACAATATTGCTCTGCCGCTTTTGCTGAATCCAACCTAAAGGGCCCCTTTCTTCGGGTCCTTTGAGTCCTTCTCTTTGGAGCCGAGCGGCTGAACTCCCAGGAGCTGTGCCAGTGGTGAGTCGCTGAAAAGGGTCTGAAGGACCCAACCGGTAGTGGCAGTTGGTACGGCATCGGTGAAGGGCAAAGCTTCCTCGATAAAGCCGAGGACAGACAGCCCCGTGCCACCGAACAAGAAGCGCAGCGCGAACGCTTCGACAGGTGCATAGGCCACGTCGCCAAACTCGCCCAAGCCTGCGACTAAATGCAATACCGTTGAAGGACTGTGCAGGTGGGAGTGGGGACTGCTAGCCTTACAGGGATCCCATCCCGGATTCAACACAAACAGCCAGAACGATCACAAACTGCCATCAGAGCTTTTCATGGAATAACCTGTGGCCTATGGGGCCTTGGTCGTAAATCAAAGTTACCCTGGTGGCAGACAACGCCCTGGCCTTGGTGCCCTGCCCAAGAAAATGCCCCGACATCAACAGTGTGACGAAAAAAATGAGGAAAAAAAGACGGAAAGAGTGCGGAAGACAGAAAGTGAAGAAGAGAGAGCCGGATGCTCTCAGGATTCAGGATGCCCTTGCGCGGGACGAGGAGGCAAAATCGAGAGATGGCGTTAAGCACGGGCAGAGCATGGCAAAGGCTCTCTGACTCTCTGGCCTGGGAGCAGGAAGGTGGCATCGCCGGCCAGGTCCAGCACCACGCACACCACAAGCTTCAGCCATTGCTCGCCGGGCACCGACGCCAGCTTCTCGGCGATTGACACGGCCGCCCCCTCCGCGGCACCCTTGGCCGCCGCGCCGGCGGCCTCGACGAAACAGCCGACTCAGAATGAAAGGGAAAGAAGACATACCAAAAGCAAAAAACGAGTCTTCTGGCTTTTTGCCGCCTTGTCCGCGCCTTGGCCGCGCCGCTCAGGACTTTGCCCTCCTGCTCGCGGCGGATCGCGTTGATTTGCCCCTGCACCCAAAACACCACCACGCCAAGGATAAGGGGAGCCACTGGTCCAAACCAACCTCCAAACAGCTGGTCCAACAGGTTACCATCAATATCCAAAGGCTCCACAAAGGGCAGATAGTAAATCCGAAAGGCGGCGGCACTTTCGACTGGGCCCAAGGGCCCAGCGGTCCAGCTGTGCCTTTGTGTTCTTTGTGGTCTCTGCGCCCCTTGCAATCTTTGCGATCTCTGCGTGTGTGCCGGAAGCGGCAGAAGCGATGGCTGTCCAACCCAGGCCGGGAACTTGAGGAGTGCCCCAGCCACCAAAGCCCCCAAAAGCGGAAGCCGCCAGGAGCTCCTCATTTTGCCCATCGCGAGGCCGCTAGGCGCCGCTAGACGCCGCCAGGCGCCGCTAGGCCCGCACCAGCGCTCAAAACTCTAATCTTTACCTGGCCTGAGATTTAGTCTGGCGGCCCTCTCGGGCTCCAAAATTTGTAGGGACTTGGGAGATCCAAGAGCGCACAACATCTGTTTATCATCATGTGTCTGTCTACATAAATAAAATAAACGTGTGTGTGTGTGGTCTTGGGCACACAGGATAAAGGCCAAGCCAAAGGAACATACACAGATCCTGGCTTCAGCGCACCTTGAGATGCCATCGAAACACCTGCCCCCTACTTAGAGAAGTTGCCTCGCCATGCAGTCCCCCGGGGTCGGTTCCTCGATTGGGTCAAATCTAAATCAGTATTTGCCTTTGTCAACGGTAGCGAGCACCAGTTGCATGAATGAAACGATCACTGAGACTAAGAGACTCCGCAGGCTTTCTGCCCCCGCGTCGCCCACTCTACACATCTCAACACTACTCACGTCAGCACTCTAAACACCACATACACCACATACACCACTCTACTCTACATGTGAAAACAGCCTGTCAGTCACGTTCGCCGCGCAAGGCTTTGGAAAACGCGTGGCCGCCCAAGCTTCGTGTCTTCCTTTGGCCTTCACTTGTTGAGGCCGGCCAGTGACTTCGGCATATTGCATGACCTCGAGTTTCACGGTGTCCCTGGAATGGGAGCACAAGCTGCCATTCGGGTGCCATGAATGAGCACGGGAAATGGAAGTTAAAGGAAGCAGTAGGCATCGGGCTGCACGCAAGACTGCCAGGAACTGCTGTGAACGCCGACCCGCTTCTTGCCTGAGTATTCCGAGCCGTATGTTTCCTTTGTTTCCCTGCGCCTTCCTCTCGAGAACCGAACGGCTCGCAATGAGATTGGATGGCATCACGACCTCTTTGCATCTTTTTGAAAAATGCATGCAAAATGTACACACTTGAGGTTCTAGAAAAGACAAGCAAGCAAACATGAGACTTGGACGATGATGTTGTGGATCGGCCTCGGAAGGGCGGCGCTGGTGACACCCTAAACCGTACTATTGGCCTACACCATTTCTCTCTGTCTCCCTCCCTGTCTCTCTTCTTCTTCCACCCAGCGAAGAGGGCCCCCCAAGGGGAACCCGTGGCCTCTCTGGCCCGCCGCTCTGTCTGGCAGTAAGTCTCTCTCTCCCTCTCTCTCTCGCTCTCCCTCTCTCGCACTCTCGCTCTCGCAGTCAAGGCCCCCTTTTTCAGCCTCTCGTGGGGGGCAGCAACAAGCAGAAGCGTTGCTCTCTGAAGCACGGGCCCGACGCAAACACCAGTGTACCCCCTCATTGCGGTGTGGACCGCATCGCGGGCCAACCTAAGTGAAGCAACAGCAAAGGCACCACCGCGAACAAACGCCAACGCGCAGCAACGGACAGCTACAAGTTGTACAAAGCACTGTTTTTTCCATGCAATTAAACTATTCGACGGTGTGGGATTCCGCCTGGAGCAGTAGATGTGGTCATTTGGCCGGATTGCGACCTCTCCACCATTCCGAACAATCGCACTCGCCGCACTTCCCGCAATCGCTCTAGCGCTGGCTTGAGAACTTGGGGCCAGCGCAGATCGAATGATGTATGAGGGGTCGATGTAGAAAGAGCGTCCTGCAAATGACGCACCGGCACAACAGCAACAACTGCAACAACAGCAACCACCGAAACAACAGCAACAACAGCAGCAACCGCAACAACCGCTACAACAGCAATGAAAGCAATGACACCAACCAACCATCAAACAATCACGACAGAGAGAGAGAAGCGAGAGAGCGACAAAGCGAGAAAGCCGAGAGAGAGAGAGAGAGCGAGAGAGAGAGAGAGAGAGCGAAAGCGAGAGCGAGAGCGAGAGCGAGAGCGAGAGCGAGAGCGAGAGCCAGAGCCAGAGCCAGAGCCAGAGCAAGAGCGAGAGAGAGGCACAACAAATCAACGGCTGCAGGCATCCTCTTCTCGTTCCATCGAGTTTGGGTATTCAACACAACCGGCATACTTGGAGACGTTGTCCACTGCACTAAGAATTGGGTCTGAGTCTTTGGCCACCACTTTTCTTCAGATGTGAATTGACCTGGTCCTCACCCAACATCACCCATCATGCATGGACCACGGGCGAGACAGAGAGAGAGAGAGAGAGAGAGAGAGAGAGAGAGAGTGAGGCTGTGTTGAGCATGGAGAAGAGCTGTGGTGTAGCGGCTTGCGCAATTCCAACCCAGCTGTCTGAAGCTCCTTGAGGTAGGTTCCAATATCACCATAGACTGTATGGCCTGTCCTCAGCCCAGGGCTCTTGGTTGCTACGCCCAGAGGCATGAATGGTGATCACTTCGGAAATCTTAGCAGGAGGCGAATCCTTCTTGCCAGTTGAAACAAACTTCTGCCCCGCACCCTCTGCCACTGCAACGACCATGAAGTCCTGGTGCGACAGTTTCAACAGCCGAACGCTGGCACAGACACGTGGGCTCTTGCTGCTTCAGGTGTTTCGGCGACTGGGACTGTGCCGACTGCGCTTTCGCTTTTTACCTTTGGCGGCCTTGATTTTTTCCTCACTATGTGACTCAAGTCAAGCTCCTCATGTTCTACTGTAGTGGTCTGTGTCCTGTTGGGTTCATTGCAATGAGTTCCGAAAGTCATTTTGGAAGGCTCCTTTCGATCCAGGGTCGCATCCACGTGCTTCATGATCTCCTCCATCCTCGGGTCGCTTGAGGGCTTTGAGGGTGCATAGCGCACAGTCCCGTCAAAAGTTGGCAAGCCAGGAGCGGCTGAGAGCGGCGCTCCACCTCCACCTGCTTCGTAACAAACAGCCTAAAGAATAGGACAGCAAAGACGCATCCGACCCCCAATAAGGGAAACAAACACTTTCACTTCCAGATTAACAGAACAGGCCTCGGAGCAAAAGCCAGAGGACCAAATTTGACCATGACAAAATCCAAAGCGCAAACCGGGCCAACGAGTTGTGCCGCTTCGGCTCTTAGGCTTTTCACACATTACCTTGCACTTCTTTCCTTGCGACTCTCATGTCACAGTTGAGGCTTGTAGGACGCATTTCGAGTTAAGATGTTCAGTCGGGGGTCACGGGCCTAGTCCGTTTGGAGGCGTTTGTTTCAGGCTCAACCGTGGCTTCCTTAGGCAAGACACATCTCACAAGGCACCACGCAGAGAGCAAACCAAAGCTGAGCACTTGCTGAACGCCCTCGGAGAGCCCCAAGTCTGACACCTCCGGGATCATGACCAAGTCCACAATGGTGGAGGCAAGCGCCGCATGCATGGCCACGAAGCCGGCATCTCGTCCTGTGAAAAGGTGGCTCTCTCTGCGAATCATGTGCAATGATGTGAAACATTATCAGAAGCGGAGGCCGGGCCCGGGCCCGCACTGATTTCACGCGAACTCTCCGAATCTCGCCGATTGCTCACCCCCAGTGACTCCCAAACGATCACTTAAGGTCCCATGAGCTTGACGATGCCCACGCCCTTTGCACAACCTCGGGAAGCCGGGGGCAGATGAAGCACTGCTTCGGCTCTTTTGCGCGTATGCCTATTTCATGTTGGGGTTGTTGAACTCTTGTGACTCTTGTGTATGCCACATGTCTTAGACTGAATGCGACCGTTTTCGGCCTAAGGCTTAGCTTCGAGCTCGTCGCCTCCACCCAGCCGTTGCCTCGGCGAACTCTACTCAACGAAATTCCCGTGCCACTCTGCGCGGGCCCGCACTCTCCGCTCTCTTGTTGTAACTCTGCTGGTCCAAAGTATATTGCAGTATCTCTTTCTTTCCTGAAGTTGGGCTTGAGGCCAGGGTTGCCCCCCCCCCCCCACCCTCGCGCAGCCCGCATGCGGTTTTCGGTGCGGCTGGAGCCCGCCCTGCCGGTGGTCCGGCAGAAAGACTGGGCGCCTCACTTTCAAGGAAAGGCTGGGCAGATGGCCAAAACAGCCAAAACGTGCGCTGCTATCCGGATCCCGCCTTCGAATTGTGACTGGTCCACTGTGTGTTTCCACAATAGCTTGCGGTAATCGATTGTTTCATAAGTCCGAACAACTTGAGTGCCTCGGCTTGTGGCCGACGGGCATCGAGACAGAGCGCATACTTTCTCTCACCCACCTCCCGCCCACCCCCCCCCGCCCAAACCGCCTGGAGGAGCCGCAATCTGATGCCACGGGTTCCAATTTCAAAAACACGAAAAAGGATGCCACCAAGCAACGTTGGGCCACCCTTCCCGGGACCCCTCCCTTGGGACGCCTCTTGCAACCCTCCCTGAACTCCTCTCTTGCGTGGTGCTGGTGCTGCACCACGTGACAACTTGGCTTTCCTTGTCCTTCGTCTGGGATGCGCACGCTGCAACCCGCATTGGACCAGCCCGGCGGCCGAGGCCACGCAACCATTTAAAAGCAACCTCCCCTCCAAGCAAACTCTCCCTCTCTCTCTCTCTCTCTCTCTCTCTCCCTCTCTGGCTATCCCTATCTCTTTCTCTCTCTCTGTCTCTCTCTCTCCTTCTTCTTCTTCTTCTTCTTCTTCTTCTTCTTCTTCTTCTTCTTCTTCTTCTTCTTCTTCTTCTTCTTCTTCTTCTTCTTCTTCTACGGGGCTTGAGGGGAGTGACCCCCCCCCCCCGCGCACGAAGCGCGCCCAGACTGTCGTTGGCTCCTTGTGACACTTAACGCAGGGCCGCAACATTAGGCGACGGCTTTTCCCGGTGAGGGCCCTTCTTTGCCCCCACGTGTGAGAATTGGGACCGCTTCATTTCGAACAGCTTCTGGCTAACAATATGACCCCTACAATTCCCCGGTCCCCTCGTCCGCTACGATTTCCCGGCTTGACTGCTGTGGCGGGACAACTGGCTCTTCACTTTCTCAAACGATCACCGCTTCCCCCAAAACTCAACCGTTCGAACCTCCCGAAACCTCCCCGCCTAACCCCCTTAGTTCAGTTTTTGTGAGCCAGTTTCCCTCCTCGGCGGCGGGATTTGGTGCTTAACGCTATTGGGTCGGCCGGTCCCCATCAGTGCTACTCGTCGTCCTTTGTCTCGTGTCCTTCCGCCTCCTGCTCTGCATCGGTGAGGTCGTCTATGCTGTCTTCCCCGTCTGGTTTCCGTCATGCCACAGCATGCGACGGTGGCGTCTCCGCCCTCCACAGCTGCGTTGGCGGCGTCGATGGCGTCCCCTCTGGACCAGATGCGCTCGCCCCGCTTCCGCTCGTGACTTGGCCTCCCTGCTTCTCCGTCTCGTTGCAGTTGCCTCGCTCTCTCTCTCTCTTCTTCTTCTTCTTCTTCTTCTTCTTCTTCTTCTTCTTCTTCTTCTTCTTCTTCTTCTTCTTCTTCTTCTTCTTCTTCTTCTTCTCTTCTTCTTCTTCTTCTTCTTCTTCTTCTTCTTCTTCTTCTTCTTCTTCTTCTTCTTCTTCTTCTTCTTCTTCTTCTTCTTCTTCTTCTTCTTCTTCTTCTTCTTCTTCTTCTTCTTCTTCTGATCGCTTAAGAGCCCCCTCTCGCGAGGGAACCCGGCCACGACAGCCAAGCGGGTCTCTCTCTCTCTCTCTCGCTCTCTCTCTGTCTCTCGCTCTTTCTCTTCTCTCTCACATTCTTGCTCGACTCCAAGGAGGTGAGAGTTCAGTTCTTGATCTTGTTCTTGCCGCGTGGCGGATCACCTCGGAGGCAGCGGCGACCGCCGAGTCGAAACCTCGGGGATCTTTTCCACAGAAGAAAAAACAACTGCAGGAAGCCGCTCTCAATGTTCTTCGCTCTCAGTTCTGCTCTCAGCGGTTGGACTCCGAAATGAAAGTGAGGAAAGCGTGGACTGTTGCAGGAACCCACATTTCCTGGCGGCCAAGCCGAAGGTCTTGTCAAAGAACACGATGTCGTTGTCGATGGACTTGGGCACCCCGACGATGGACAAAGGCCTAAAGCAAAGGACGGGAGCACGATGCGCACAACAAGAGGAGCAAAAGCATGCAGGAGCTAAGGGACAAAAAACAGTGGAAAGATGCAGAGCATGGCCTTTTTGAACATCAGAACGTCGCTTCCACTTGCTGTTTCCAGTTCGAGCTTCGGGCATCTGCCTCTTGCGAGCTGCTTGGTAGAGCAAATTGGCCGCCGCCTGCTTGATACGGCCGCTCAACTGTCAGGTGCGTTTTGGCCAAACTCACGATTGTGCATTTACAGAACCCTTCAAGTTGTAATTCGTATTTCGGAGTTCGTGGGGATTCGTCATTTGCAATCTGCAACCATCGCAGGCGCAGTTTTGGTACTGCCACTATTTGGTTGGTAGTTTGTTCTCGCTCCGCCCTCAGGATTTCGTGGCAGTGCTTCTTCAGCTCGAAGCACTTTAAAGCCCACAAACGATGATACCTCAGCGCGCGCGCGCGGCATCACGAGCATCTGCTGGCGCTCGTTTTGGGGGAGCCCTAAGCCCAGGAGTCGCCGAAAGCCGAACAGCTGGGGCCAGTCATATCCAATTATATCCAACGACTCAAAAAAAATGGGTACCAATTGCACCTGTCGTGAAAGGGGGGGGACGCACACGCGCCCGCTACCCCCCATCTTCCCACATGAATCCTGTCGTATGCACAAGGACAAGGGCGGGGTGGGGGGACGCACGCCCCCCCCACCCCCCCACCCAATCCCCCACCGGCCGGGGCCAAGGTCACGGCCCACTAAAGCCACCTAAGGTCCAAAACGTCAGGTCAAATCCGTACCCGAGAAAAGTTGAAATACACAGAGACAGCACAAAAGAGTCACAAGAGCAACTCACCTGCCTGAGTGCCATCACCGCCGACGGTGAAAAGCCTTCGTGAACTTTGTGGCACTTTGTTCTGCATTTGACAGATGCGTTTTGTCCAGAAAAGAGTGCTTTTGTCCCAACACCCGAACCCCACCCGAACCGAACCCGCACCCGAACCCGCACCCGAACCCCCACCACACCCCCACCCTTACCCCTTCCCCCTGCCCCGCACCACGCCGGCGCAGGCACCAGTCGGTCGTCACTAAACACATTCTCTTGTAGCCAAGAAGCATGTTGATCCCCTGCTTCTGTAGCCTCAGCACAAGTCACACCATCTTTTTGGGAGCCTTGGCCTTGGCATGGATTTGCATTCACATTCTTGAGGCCTTGGCTGGTCTAAGATCTTGTCCGGGTCATCCATTCCACCGCGACCTGCCTGTGTCTGAGTCTCTCTTCGGCAAGGCTGCAACTGTCCACTTCTTGCATATGTGAAAACATGGCTCCGACTGACATCGTCCAGGAGATTCCGCAGAATTGCGTGTAGCTTGGGGTGGGTTGATGTTGAATGACTTGCCAACTTGCTACACCTTCAAGATGCTGCCGCCCTTCATGTGGATGTCTCGTACGTTGTCCACCGTCAGCCTTCAGAATGCTTTCAGCAATCTGAACAGATTGCTGAGCAGATTGCCACAAATTTGCCAGATGCACATCTCTTTCTGAGTGCGGGGCTGCACCGGAGGATACTCGTCCGGCATACTCAACCTCTGAGAAAGCATCGAGAAGGCCCTCCACTGCAGTCGGAGTAGACGAACGGATTGATCGCTGCTGAGTTCCGCGACCCGTTGTATCCGAACTGCATCCCGAGAATGCTTTTCACCTCACCAGAAGAATCACCAAAGGTGGCGAAGCGACATGCAAGAGCCTGCGCAACAGTCATTTGCAAGGATCTGAGTGCACGTCGCCATATTGATGCCTTGGCTGAGAGATGGGGATAATGTGTTGCTGCGATGAGGGCAGGATGGTGCAGCCCTCTCCCCCTTGCATTCTGGAGACCAAAGGCAGTTGGTGATCTCTCGAATGATGGAGTTGAGCCCTGGACCTGTTTTGAGCGTACATCATACTTTGACACGCTGCATCTTGCTTCCTTGGGCTTCAGCAAAGCCCACCGCAAGTCACGATGGCTGCTCGTACCTTGGGCTTGAACACAAGGGAGAACCCAAAAGAGAATGTGCAGTGATCTACTGAAGAATGTTTTGAGTAATGTGAGTAGGGCGTTGCCTCACTGGGATCGAAGAAGATCTCCCGGCAGGCGTTGGCCCTGACGCAGCCTCAGCACACACATTTTTCTTTGGGGACACTCCCCCTTCGCTTGCATTGATCTACATCAAATCGTTGATGCTAAGCAAACCTTCATCAAAAGAAGTTGAAGTTCTCAAGCTGAGTGCATCATTGCATGGACTGCGCTTGGTGTGCACTTGCTGCGGGGCCGTTGGTAAGCTCCTTTGGCCGGGAGGCCTTTCCAAGGGAGAGAGAGACAGAGAGAGAGAGAGAGAGAGATGCCTGCGTGCACACAAAAGGCCAGTAGGGCATTCTGAGCAATCTTGGCATCCGCAACAACATTGCGGAGACTGTCCCCTTTTTCTAACCTCTTGAGTGCATCTCTCCAGGTGCTGCTCTCAGCCTTGTCCGCCTTGTCCGCCTTGTCCACCTTGCTATCCGCAACTGAACCCTTAGCGTGACTCGTCGCGTGCCCGTCCAGAAGGCAGGCCGTTGCTCTCGCCGCTTCTGTTGTCGTTGCCGCTGATGCCGCCGTTGTCGCCGTTGCTGCCGGTGGCTTTTGGCCCTTTCGATTTTCTGGATCTGGTGCGGTGTCGCCGCTTTTGGGCAGCCCCTGCCTGCGCGAACTTGGTGGGGGGGGGATGCGAGAAACGTGAGAAAGGCCGTGGGTGCGCCTTGTCACCACTGCTTGTCTCCGTCCGTGTCTCAAAGCTGGATGCAGAGGATGGACGGGGTGGCGGAAGAGCCGCCATACCCCCAGGACCCGAAGGCCTGGTCCTCTTCAATGGCCTTTGACTTTGAGAATCTTGAGGTCTTGTCGGGCTTCGGGGCCGCGTTTGCAGCCGCCTCTTGAGGCCAAGTCGTGCCACCGTGCTGCTCTTGAGCTGAACAGTTGGGACTCTGGAAACGCTGACGTCCGGCACGCGCAACTCCACCCAGCGTGAGAGAGTGACCTGCCAACTCAACTGCATCGCTTGGTGGCAAAATCGTACAGAATCGTACATGTCAGCACACGATGACATCACGATGATGCACGTTAATGGATGCGACTGTGCCCTGCCTCGATGGGCGGCTCAAGTGCAGACCACGTCGATTTGCAGTTCCGCCACGCTTCCTGGAAAGCCTGCGTCCAATTAATGAATATGTCAGCGGAAGGGCTTTCTTTGAAAAGCTTAGAGTCTTAGAGAAAGTCTTTTCTAGAGACAAACTGAACCAAAGTTCTCAGAAGCAGGGCTCTGCGACTTTTTTCAGAGCCTTGTCTGTATTGATCACATTCGACAGCTTCAGCGGTGCGCTGCAGCCGGATGCCGTGAAGGAGGTGCTCGCAGCCAGCGTGCATCTGACGATGGCGTCCATGCACGCCCGTTCCAATGCCTTTTCCTCAAAGCGCAAAGGGCCCTCGAAGAACTCAAGCAGCCTCGCTTCATCCTGCGAGAGTGTGCGGCATGATTAACGGTATCGTTAACGGTATGTTTCTCCACGGTTCGGAGCACACCTGTCCACACGTTTCTCACGCTTCTTGAATGGTGAATTCGACTCTGCAATTGACTCTGCAATTGACTCTTCGATGTCAGTTCTCACGGCGCCCTTCCTGAGCCCGCTTGTCTAGGCGGGACACCTGGCAGTAGCAAAAGGAGAAGAGGGTGGTGCAAGAGATGGTGGCTGAAAAACATATCAGCATCATCTCTGAAATTCTGCAAGCACGCAGCGCTCCATAACATCTTCAGTAGTGCAGCAAGATTTTCTGCTCAGAAAGGTCCACCTTCAAAATGGGGGGGGAGTGCACCGATGTACCGTTACATCTTTCCTCCGTGACACTGTGACACCGTTAGAGCTCCGGAATCTCCCAAACCCACTCGAGGCAGAGGCCCCGCCTCGGCGCCGACCTTGGCACTCAGAAAGGAAAAACTGTAGACATAATAAATTCTGATGATGGCAGAGGGAAAGAGCGAGAGCAAAAGATAGAGTTTTATGAATTTTGATAGGGGCAACGAACCCGACACGAGTCACAGACACCGCCAAGATAACAGATGCACCGCGCGACACGAGCTTATGCGTCTTGTCTATGTCACTCTTTCTGTCTTTCTTTCTTTCTATGTCAGTCTCTCTCTCTCTCTCTGTTCTCTTTTGTTTCTTGAGGGCACATGTCTCTCTCTCCCTCTCCCTCTCTCTCTCTGCAGGCATGGTCCCATTCCCGAAGGGCACGCGAGTCCCACAACATGCCTCTCTCTCTTAGCTCTCTTCGCTCCTCCTTCACTGATTCACCGGCCCCCCCGCTCTCTCCCTCTCTCCCTCTCTCTCTCTCTCTCTCTCTCTCTCTCTCTCTCACCGTCTCGGCGCGTTATCCCTGTCTTTTCTTCCTTTTTTCCTGGGGAGGGAGGGGGAGGGGGTGGGGGTTCTGTTCTTCCATCCAGCACTTTTTGACGTAGGGAATTCCACTCGTCTGCGGTGTTCTGTACGAGGTTAACCCTGCAGTAGTTTCATTTATCGGGCAAATATGGGCTAACAAATGGCCGAAATTGATCTTTTTGCCAACCGCCTCATTGATCATTTTCGAGCTTGTGTTGCTGGATTCTTGCTCGGCCCCACAACAAACATGCTAGATGTTAGAACAGAAGTTCCGCGAAGCTTTGCTTGTGTTTGGGGCTCGGGTTTTCAATACAGGGATTTTGCATTGGGGCATTGGGGCTTTGGCTTTTCTTTTCGCGGGCGCTTCGCGAACACAAACGCACGATGTGAAGATCCCTGGAACCCCAACCTGTAAAGCGGGAATCCTTCTGCTACGCATTCGGACAAAAGAGGGAGAGAGAGCGGACGTTCCCGGATGTTGTTGGCGTCCCGGGTTCCGAAGCGACTTTCTGCCAAAGGGGCGAAGTCGGCCAGGAGCTCCCCGTGCTCACCCTCGGTCAGGACCATCTCCGCTCCGAGGCGGGCTTCGATCCAGGCTCTCAGCATCTCCGGCCACGGCGGCAAGAAGCCCGAAGCCCTTTTTACCTTACAAAAGGCTGCAGGATGTCGGATCTCTTTCTACTTGTACTTCGACCTATTTTGGTGACGTAGCATTCTATTGCTCGACAGGCCAGGGCCACATTTGGATTGTTTTCGATGTCCGCGAGCCTGGCTTCGCCTTGGTGAAGCACGTGCAAGAAAGCCTCATGCGTCGGCCACGCCAGGCAAGAAGGCAACGGCATCTTTGTAACGCTGAGCTGCGCTGAGTGCTGTTGGACGTCAACTCTTGCCAGGCTCTAAACAGCCTCTGCCGCAACGAGTTCTCTTCCTCCGTGAAGTCGTCGGACGGAAGGCGAGCCAAGAAGGTCTCAGGATCTCCGTCATCAACATCCTCAGGCATAGTCTTGTAACGAGTAACGGGGCCGATCGCGCATCCGCGCGAAGTATCAACGAGCAGGCTCTTCTCCTGGTCTTCGTGCGCGACGAAGTCGAGCAGCTGCACCCCCACCTATGAGAACAACGGCACCAAAAACAACCCCTGTCTTCTCATCTTGTAGCCTCGGAGCCAAAGGCGCCGTGGACCACCTCCACCTGTTCTGAAAGCTTGGCACTCGTGAAACTCTCCACAGAAAGAAAGAGAGAGAGGGAGAGAGAGAGAGGGAGAGAGAGAGAGAGAGGAGAAAGAAATAGAACTCTTCTTTCTCACCTCCTGGCCAATGCGGTGCTCAATCCAGGCGGTAAGCCGGACATGTCGTGGCCACTCGAGCCGTGCTTTAACCCGGCCTCGACAAGCTCTTGAGCCTGCTCGACTAAGCCTCTCAAAAAAAGTGCTCAGAGCCCACGGCCAAACTCAGGACCGCTGGCAACGGGAGACAGTTTCACCTCAGACGCTTGAACCCACTGAGCTGTCGTTCCGGCGCTCCGAGAGAACTCCAGCAAACTTCGTGCAGCAGGGACGCTAGCCCCTTCCCCTGACAAGGCAGCTGATGCTGGCATACGCAGCCGAAAGTTGATGGAACGAAATAGAGTCTTGCATTTATCAATAGAACATGTGCAAAAACAGCTCAGACCTGCTACAATGTCCAAGTAGCTGCTTCCCAGGCCTGTAAAGCCTTCACCAATAAGTTCCGCAACTCCATCTCGTGCTCTGTGAGGCTGTCCTCCGCACACCGCACACTTCCAAACCTGTTGGATTCATGAACAGAAACACACATGGTGGCGTGTTCAGCCAGCAACATCGCAGGAGAAACACAACCAGTTGGAGCACTGATGTTGCCATCCAAAAAGTACCCCCCTTTTTTTGTTTCACTCACATACTCATGTCAACTAGCGCTGGCGCTTGTATGCGCCAGCGCGTGTATGCGCCAGCTCACAACTTTGACCTCTTCTTGGCAGCGAATCTCCGCTTTGCCACCTTCTGCCGCATGCGCGCTCGGGGCACTTTCCTTTCAGAGCTGAGGCCCGAGGAGCTCGACGAGCCTCGCCTAACTTTGCCGCCAAGGGCCAGAAAAATTTCACTTTACACTGAGAACTGAGTTGGCAAATTTCGAGGATTTGGCCCGGGGTTGCTACGCTTCTAGCCACTCAGTGCGCAGTGCGGAGTAGTGCGGAGCGTGCGGAGCAATGCGGATGGTGGCACGTCGCAAGCCACCTCGCCTTTTTGCCCACTGACTGGGTATCGCCGTGTATCGCTGTGTTGCTGGGATTCTTCACACCATGCCTGAGCTGCGGATTCTGCAGCGAAGGCTTCTTGGATTCTGGCAGGGCCGCTTCTTTTCTGTACTGATGATATGTACCGTTGATGACTGCTGACTTTTTGCCGTCAGGACATTGGGTTACGACATTGCGATGCCAAAGTCCTGGCACAGCGTACCGGGCGGTTGTGAGCTTTGGTCTATATGCATTTCTGAGCAGCCGATGGCCACTCGTACTACTTGTTTCCAGCTGTTCGTCAGGCTCTTGGTCTCTGACTTTGCGAGGCTGCCAGGCTGTTGATGATGACAGGCCACAAGCTCTCGAACAGAAGGTATGTAGGGTATGTGTGTATGTATATACATATATATGAGGACCTTGTGCGGGGAGGACTTTTCAACAGAAGCGAGAAAGTAAAAGAGGCGCAGCAAAAAGGACGTTGAGAGGGACGCATGCAAGAGAACACCCAAAACAAACTGTAACAGTCACAACAGAGAGTTTCCACCAAACAGACCGAGAGCCACTCGGAGCCTGAGGATGCAGACGGAAACAAGAGATGACTTTCAATTTCCTGACTCCTCCTCTTTTCTTTCAAGAATTCGCCTCCAGCCGAGAGGCGTCTAGAACCCTGGGAACCCCCCGTAGCCCTTGAAACCTGCTCCTGGGACCCACCCTAACACGTCGCGTAATATGAGCCTGCCAGACCCGCGAAAGGTTTTTCGAATTTCTTGGGCCTTGGGACGTGGGCTGGCCCGGACCCCGAGGCGGCGCGCAAGCGTTTACAATTACTCAACAGAAACTTCTTGCACACATTTCTTCCCTCTGTCTCTTGTCTCTCTCTCTCGTCTTCTTCTTCTGCTGGGCATGGGGGGTCCGGAGTGTTGAGGGTGTCTGTCTCCTCTTTCTTTCCCCCTCCCAAATTCCCTCCCTCAACAGTCCCAGCGGACTCCGGGACTTGTTGCCGCCCCGTCTCGCGCCTGCGGCAGGCTCTCGAAGAAGGCCTCCTGCGCCAGTCGGCGGTCCTGCGAGTTGCTTCTGAGAGGAGAGGGGAGGAGTCTGGGAGGAGGAGGGGGGAGAGCTTCGGAGGAGCGGTGTGTGGCTGGCGCGAAGGACGTGCGATGGCGGCCTCCTTCACGGCATCCTCAGGGCCCGCCAGCGCCGCCTCTTCCCAAGAATCTCACCATATCTCACCCTTCTCTCTCTTCTCATTCCTCCTCTCCCCACGAGAAGCGTCCCCTGACCTGAGCCTGGCCATCACCGCGCCTGGAGAGATGTCACGCGCTGCCAAAAGAGAGCCCCCCTATGGAGAGAAAGCATTGCCATGTGAGAAACATGCAATATTCAACGTGGTTACGTGCCAACCCTTCAACCCCCCCCACTCAAAAAAGAAGGCGAAAGTATGTACAACTCAAGTCTAGAATCCTAGAATGTCCTAGAATGTGGCTACAAGCGCAAGGTTCGCGCGCAATGGCCTCTGGGGAGCCCGTGCTCTTGGAGGCCCGGCCATGGAGAAGACTCACAACGCTTACAGTATCCTGGCACCTACAGCCACAACCCGCTACAGGCCGCTCTACAGCCCTCTATCAGACTCTCTTACCGCTCTCTTACCGCTGTACCTTTTTTGCACAATGCACTTGAAAGAACTTGTAAATCTACGGCCGAAATTCAGAGCTGCCAGAACGGCGCCAATGCTGCCGCCAATGCACTACAAAAGCTCTGATAGACTTGGTGCACCAAGAAATGTTAACGAAAATCTCAGTTCCAAGACCTTCTTGGAATCATTTAGGATGATGTGGCCCATCACCAGCTCGTCCTCGGGGGCCAATGCCCTTCTTACATGTTACATGCTGCATCACAAGCAATCTGGGCGCAAGACGGGATTCAAGAAATTGAAGTCTGGCCAGTGGATCGCAATTGGGTTCAAGAACTTGTTGACCTCATCGAAATCTTATAGCGCTTACACTGCCAGTGCCTGCAAGTGACTGCAAGTGGTTCAGCCGCGCACTTGTCTTTCCTTCACAAGTCCTGCATTTCGTGGGGTTGACCCGTGTTTCTCTGAGAAAGCAGAGGTGGCACCAGGGTCCTCCATGAGACTCTTGCCAAGATGATAAATGGAAAGGCCTCGGCCGAATGAGCCCATCTCAATAAGCTAACAACACGTTCAAAGGCCGGTGGCTTGAGATTTGCTGCTGACTTGTCGTCCAACGGAGGTCCTTGGCTGGCAAAGCCACCACAGCCACCGCCACGCTTCTGAGCTTTGAACTGAGCCTTCTAACTAAGCTTTTACCCTGAGCTGCTTCTCGCTATCCATCTCTCTTGCCTTTATCCGCTTGTTCTTGCTTTGTTGCCTTTGTGATTGCTGTCGTCCAGGGTCCAGGCCATCCGCTGAGACTCTCTTGGCAGGAACTGCAATGCAGGCGCTGCCGGCAGCAAGGGCGGCAAGGCCCTCCAAAGCGGCTCAGGGCTCTGCTCAAAGCTCTCAGAGTCCATTCGTTGAAACGGGGATCTCTGTCAAATCGTCGCAATCCACCCTTGTTGCAGCAGGTCTTTTCAGGTTCCCCCCCCCCTTCACACCTGCTGGCACCACCTTCGGGCGCCGTAGGCCGCCATCTCTCTCAAACACACGCAGAGAGGAAGAGACGGGGCTGCTCTACCCTCCTTCCTTCCTGGGAACCGTTCGCGCGATGCTTAGCTTCATCGTTCTTGCGACTCCAGGGAGTGTCACCTCAAGAGCGCGCGATTCGGTAACTTGTGTCTTCTTGTCTGCGTCTGTGTCTGCGCCTCTCCCAGTGCGTTCAGCGAACACAAGGCTGCTAGCTGTGAGACTTTTGTGAGCTGTGAGACTTTTGTGGGCAGGCCCCGGCTGTTTTTTCACCAGGGCACTGAGAGGGCAGTTAAATCGTTGTGCCCTCGCTGAAGCTCATAGACCAAATGCAAGTGAAACGCGTGAAACGGCCGCTTCGCTACTTGAACAAGGACTGGAAGTGATCCCAAATCAGTGCTTGGCTTCCGAGCACTCTCTCAACATCAAAGTAGAACTCCGCAATATGCATTTCGTCGTTGCGTGGAGGTGGGCAGGTGAAATTCATGGAGTAGCCGAGCCTGTCAGGAACTGTCCAATATCTAAGCTCCTAAGCGCAGAACATCACAGAGTGTGGGCATCGTGCCAAGCCACACTTCTTTCGTCACGCATCCGCCCGGAGGAACCAGAATCACGTAGTCCACCCCCGTGACCAAATCTTGCCTCTGAAGCTGAAAGCTCAAACAGCTCAAAGCTGAGCAAAGCTGAGCAATGCTGAGCAGCTGAGCTCCTAAAGACACCTCCCTCATCACCGTCATCCCGGTCATCCCTCTCACAACGCCTGTGGTTCCAGGACCTCTGCTGGAAGATCGTGCCGCGCCGGAGGGCTATCTGCAAAGTTTCTGAAGACAAGGACCTGGAAGAGCAAAAGGGAGCGGCGGAGGTGTTTTTTTTCTCCTAACGTTGGCCCTGGCTGGTTGGCCTTGCGAACATATTTGAGTATGCATACTATTTATTCTTGTATATTCTGGTCCATTAAACGATTGTAGAGTGCTGTAAATTGTTGCATATTATTGTAGATTATTGTATACTTTGGTCCATTCTTGTTTAGTAATCTATGTTTTTTGATATAAATGTGTATAACTGTATATTACCGTATTCTATTGTCAAATCTTCTTTAATAATCTTGTATGTTATTGTATATTATTGTATATTGTGCGCGTGACCAGAAACTCCAAGAGGACCTCAGGGTGATCTTGAGGTTGTCCACGCCGAAGCCATCCGCCACAACCTCCTCCAAGAAGACCAGTCCAGCGCGCAGTGCTGCCAGAAGGTCCTGTCACCGTCACTGCATGGCTCGCGCAGCATGTCACTTTTTCACTTTTCAAGACAAAGACCACTGAGACCACGGTCTCCTCGCCGGTGCGCGGCGGGGGGCGCTCGTCGACCTGGAGGGCGAGCAAGAGCCAGAGCCGCAGGAGATAAAACCAGACCGTGAAGGAGGGAGAGAGACAGCGCGAGAAGGTAAAGTGCCATAAAGGAGACAGAGCGAGAGAGAGAGAGAGAGAGAGAGAGAGAGAGAGAAAGAAAGAAAAAAAAGAAAAGGGGAACTGCCGGTGGTGCCGCTCTCGCGCCTTCTGCAAGCCGAAATGCGAGGGGGCTTTGAGCTCGCTGGACTGCGCCAAGAAGCCTCCAGAGCGAGATGTGGAAAGAAAGAAGAGAGAAGCGAGAAGAGAGCAGAGAGAGAGGGGAGAGGGGAGAGGGGAGAGGAGAGGAGAGGAGAGGAGAGAGGAGAGAGGAGAGAGGAGAGAGAGACGAGAGAGGAGAGAGGAGAGAGGAGAGAGGAGAGAGGAGAGAGGAGAGAGGAGAGAGGAGAGAGGAGAGAGGAGAGAAAAAAGGAGAAAGGAGAAGAGAAAAGAAAAGAGAGGGCTTTTGCGTGCCTTTGAGGAGGAAGTGAGAGGTAGCAGGGAAGGGGTCCAGGTTTTGCTTGTCGCGTTTTGCTGGCATGTGTTTCGCAATCTTGTTGGTTTTTGGTTCGGTCGGAACTACTGCAAAAAGCAGCGTTGCTGCGCTTGCAAAGGCTGCAAATACTGTAAATAGCGGCATTTCTGAATGTTCAGAAGCTACAAACAAAGAAAATAGGCTTGCAGAGGCGGCAAATACTACAGTATCAATAGCAACCTGAGTTTGACGAAGCTGAAAATACTGTAAGTAGCACCATTTCTGAGTTTCAGAGCACTGTTCGCTAAATGAAAAAATCGAGGGGGGTTGGGGCATGACGGGCTTCGAATGAATTCATATGTTCCAAAGCAAGTTCTCTGAGCCCTGTTGGCATGATGGGTTTAAACACGATTCGTATGCTTTGATGCACGCTGCTTGCACGGCTTAAAATGCGGTGCTAAGGCAACCTTTCGCGCGTCGTGCCATGCCGGAGTCTTCGTAGAGACGCGCAAAATGTCTAAACACGCCAAGGGCAAGGAAAACGCGAAAAGTCGAAAAACACAAAAAACCACAAAAACGCAAGAGGTCGAAAAACACCAAGAACGAGAAAAGCACAAAAAGCGAAAAAGTCAAGAAACGATAACAACGCAAAAAGCAAATACAAACAAACAAAAATGCGAAAAACTCAACAAAAAGTCTGCTGTCGTTTTCGCGCTCTCGCATTTTGTCGCGATTCTTCGCGATCTTCGCGTTCTCGCACTATCGCGTTTTTCATGTTTCCTCCGCTTAGCCAACACACAGACACACACACACACACACACACACACACACACACAGACAGACAGACAGACAGACAGACAGACAGACAGACAGACACACACACACACACACACACACACACAAAACGTTGGCACAGGGCGTCGCCAGCCCCCCCCCCCCCCTCATTTGCAAACACAAGATGCTCGCATGATGGGCTACAAAAGGCTCACATGCTTTGACGCAAGCTTGCACGGCTTAACACAAGTTCGCATAATTGGTTGCAGCAACTTGCACGGCTTGAAGAAGCGGGGGATTGGGGGGGGGCCCCCTTTTGCAACACAATGATCGCATGATGGGTTTCAGTGCTCTGAAGCAAGCTTACACGGCTTTAAAAATCGGGGGGGGGGGGTTGGGGGGAAGGGTGCAGCCCCCCCTCCCCACTGCAAACACGTATATAAGCTTGCATGGTAGAGTCATATGTCATATGCTAAGCTTGCACGGCTTAACAAATACGGGGGGGGGGGGGGGGCAGCCATTGGAAAACACAATGCAAGCTTGCACGGCTTTACAGAGGGGGGTTGGACCGACAGGCTCCGGCTCCAGACCGGGAGACGGACACGGACCCACTGACCGACTGACAGGCTGACCGACCGGCCGTACTTGCAGCCTCTACAAACCGAACCAAAAGCCAAAAAACAAGAAAACAAGAAAACACGACAAAAAAAACTAAACAGCCTAGCGGGAGAGGGTGGAGCAATGGGAGCGGGGGAGGCAAGGCCGAGGTGCTGAGGCGCGCCATCAGCTGGCCGCTGGCCACTCCCGGTGCTTGCTGCCCTGAGTCGTACTCCAACACTGCCTCGCAGTCGACAGAGTCTACAGAGAGTCGGGAGCCTACGAGAGCGTTACTAGAGTCGCAGTCTAGGCCTCTGCCATGTTGAGAAGGGACGTGCAAAAAGGGATGCACACGAGACCCCGCGATTCCACCGACCCCCAAGTCCTGGCCACAGAGCGCGGCGGTCACGCGGACACTGCCCGAAACCTTGGCCTTATGAAAACCTGGCACCCGGGCACCCCACTACCCCCCCCCTCCCTTCGAATGTGCGAATCGCGTCGTGAGAGCGGGAGTCGGATGCAAAGCGAGCGCCATGCTTAGGCAGCCGCGTGCTCGGTTGGAGCGCTCTCACATTTTTCACTTAACCTAATCCTCCGTCCTCTCAACGAACACATTCAACACATTCGTGCAGATACTCCTTACGGCAAAAACTGAGATGAGCAACTGCGCAGCCCTGAAGCCGGCCAAACGGCAAAACACTGCAAAACACACGAGGAGCCCAAAGTCCGCCTGCTCCGCCAAGGCCCGCATGCGCTGCTGCTCGGCCGACCAGGCCGCCTCACAAACTCTCCCCCCACGCGTGGACGAAACAGCGTGCTTTGCATCTCGCTTCGGCCTCCCACTCATCACGCTTGCGGTAGAAATCTCCTTGGGCAGCCTGGGTCTGGGAAGCATTGGCTGGGACGCCTTCCCAAAGCATGAAACCTCGGCACGAGGGCAGCAGGACAAGAAGAACTGAGAATGCACCGAGCCGTTGCGCCGCAAAATGTGCGACGCAAACTGCGCTCGTATGCCATTCAATAAACTCAGGCGCAAGGCACCCAGAAGTTTCGGGCTGCGCCGCGGGTCTGCGCCGAAAGCGTTCACGAAAGCCCGAGGCAGCGGCCGGCCTGGAACAAAACAACAAAAGCACGCAAACAGTAGAGAAGCGGGTGCGGTGGAGTTGCCGTTGATCATTGCAAAGCCAAGAGAGCCGAATATCGAGAGAACACTCTCGCCTTGCACGAGCTCGCCGTCGAACTCACAGCCCCAGTCCAACCTGATCGGCTCATCGGGGCGCGAAAAATCGGCGAACGTTACATATCGGCCCCCCAACATTCCGAGACTCCCTTGCTACACACCAGGTTGCAAGAGGCATCATGTTTCAAGACCAAAAAAAACACCGTCCAGTTCGGCAAGGAGCAGCATCTCCTCCAACTTCACGCACAGGTTGGCATGTTCCTCCGCTGTGAGCTGGAAGTTCGTACCACCTTTCTTCCCGTTCATGGTCCACCTTTGCAAAAAACTCTTTCCATGGACACGAAGAACCGCCGTGCTTGCTTCGTCATTGAACAGTACCAATGCTCTCGCATACTTTGCACCCGGACTGAACATGGACTGCAGCCTCTTTTTACGCCAAGAAGCACCGAGAGAGAGAGAGAGAGAGTGCCCTGCAGAAAAGAAAAAAGACTCTGTCAGAGGCTCAGAACCAAGAAAGAGCGAGAGAGAGAGAGAGAGAGCAGCATTTTAAGTGGCCTCTGTTGGTGTCACTACTGCGAGAGTTGTTGTTCTCGGACCCCTCTCCCACGACACAACCCGTTAAAGCCACTCTCTCTCCAAAAAAGGAGGTTGGGGCCTCGGGGCCCGGGCCCTTGCGAGCGATCTCAAAGGATTGAGAGCTGCACTTTCATGCCGCATGATGGGTGGGGAACTAAGGATCGACTCAGCTCATGGACTCATGGCGGCACAAGTGTTTTTCTGGAATCTGCAAGAAGCCGTAGTGAGGGCCTGTTCATCTCCTCGTGGAGCTTGTTCGGATTCGCACGGAGGAAGCCTGGGGGCAGCCCGACCAGTTTCTACGGAGTTTCAGCGGGCATTTACCGGCCTGCATCTTCCTAAGTCGCGTCTGGTGTGCACATGCGCATGTCGAAAGACGGGTAGATGCCACTCTACATATCAAGTGATCTTTCCGGACAGATCTTATCCAGCCTTCAAGGGCTTTGTGACCGTCCGCTCCAGCACGCCACTGCCGCGGATGGCAGGCCAGTGGCGGTGGCGGGGGAGCCGCCCTGGGCAAAAGACCGCGCCGCCCATCCGAGAAGCGCCCATCCGAGCCCGATAAAACATAGACGTATAGATACAGATATATATATATACATATATATATATGGTCACCCCCGGGATGTCTGGTTCTACGTGAAAGCCCGCGCGAATGATACAGAAACACGTGTGTGTGTGTGTGTGTGTGTGTGTGTGTGTGTGTGTGGGTGTGCGTGTGCGTGTGCGTGTGCGTGTGTTGCACTATTTGCACGTCATGAGTCATCACCTAAAGAGCACTACATTTTACAAGAACATCCAAGAAACAAAAATCCAAAACCATGAAGCCGGGACCCCACCTTTGTTGGAAATTCTAGTTACCCAAGGTTTTTTTGGTTTTTTTGGAAGAATCCCAAAAAAAAATGCGCTTTTTAGACTTTAGTTCCGTGTCTGAAAGCCAAAAAAACATGCATTTTCAACTTTCGCTCGAAATCCAAAACAACATGTGCCTTTTTTTGGCTTTTCAGGCCCACGCAGGGCAAAATCCAAAAAAACGCCTGGCTTTTTTTGGATCCTTCAAAAAAAAAACTTGGGAAAGCCAAAATCTCCTAAAAAAACCGGCTTCATGGTTTTGGAATTATGCTTCTTTGCAAAGCTTGCCCATAAGCGCCTTCTTGCTAAAAGCATATGCTTTCATCGGCTTTTCCTAGGCAAACCTAGCTTTCCAGGCACAAATTATGCTTTTCCAAGATGTTCATAAGCAAGTCTATCTTTTCGTGTATAACTGTAATAGTAGAGATGAACACCGTTGTTATTTCATATTTATCTTCATCATATGTCTTTTTTTTGTCGGGCAACACTTAATTCAGATTTGAACTATTCGCTTATTCGGGTGTGGCATTAAGATGAAAACTCTAATGGTGGTGTGGGTTTATAATGCACAATTCCAGCACGTTTCATTACGAATTGGGGCCAGAGGAGGATTTCATAGGGTGTTGTCGGTAATTTCAAATTCCAACTAGGCAATAGAGAATGCGGCTTAGAAGAGGATGTCTTCGGGCATGGACTCTTCATGTATTCGTTTTACTTGGGTTAACTACGAAAGAAGCTGTGTCTTTATCATTCGCAAGTATATTGACATGTCATGATGAGGCGCCAGAAAAGTATTTCATAGGGTGTGGCCTTAAGCATAGAAGTCTTTCCTAGGGTGTGAGCTTCTAGTATCCATAAACTACGAAGGGAAGCAAGGAAGCCCAGATAAGGATTTCTGAGGCTGTAACCTCTGCACGTAAAGTTCTTATGAAATTTTGTTACGAACAAGCAGGCCCCAGAAGAGGATTTCATAGGGCGCGGCCTGAAATTGGCAAATGTAGACTCGTAAATAAGTTGTATTACGAATGAGGCCAGAGGATTTCTCAGAGGAAGATCTCTAGGGGTGTGGCCGTTTGGTATAAGTTCCGAATTCGGTTTAAATATCAGTTTGATGTGCCCGAAAGGCTTTCCGACCTAGATCATGGCGGGGGGGGTGAACATTCTTATTGATTTATATCTATATCTATATCTATATCTATATCTATATTTATATCTGTATCTATATCTATATCAATATATGTATATATGGACATGTATATATACATATATATGCGCGTTGGACCTTTAGGGTCTATGTGAGGCAATGTCCTTGTTTCTCAGGAAAACCCATGGAAACTCATGTAAGTGATCCAAAACATGAAAGTAACGCAGGGATTCGACTGTGGAGGCCTTAGGCTTTAGGATTTGAGTCTCAACCTCCTCCTCCTCTTCCAACTCTACGACACAGAAGAAAAGAAAAAGAGAGAGAGAGAGAGAGAGAGAAAGTGTGTGTGAGAGAGAGACCGAGAAAGGAAGAACGAGACCAAGAGCGCGAGCCGGAGGACAGGAGAGGAGAGTGAGAGGGAGGAGCAAGGAGGTAAACTCCTACCTTTCCCTTTAGCAGTAGAAAAACTGATATGGACTTGAGAGGTGGAAAGCCAAGAGACCCTCTCTCTCCCACAGTCTATGCGTGTCTCAATGTCTCGCCCTGTCTCATTCCCTCTCTCCTTCTTCAAATCTCTTCGTCCGTAGTTCTTCCTTTCATTAGTCTCCCTCCTCTTACAATTCTACGAGACATGCCACTCAGAAAAAAAGAAAGAAAGACAGACGGAAAGAAAGAAAGAAAGAAAGAGAGAAAGAGAGAGAGAGAGAGAGAGCGACCGACCAAGAAAGAACGAACGAGACCGAGAGCGAGAGCAAGAGCGACGGGGGGAGAAGAGAAGAGGGGACAATTCAAGGTAGGAAGAAAGTGTAATCCCCTCTTCTGTCTTATCTTTGTCTCTTTTTCTTTAGCAAAAAGGAAAACTGATCTGGACTTGAGAAGTGGCAAGCCAAGAGACCCTCTCTCTCTCTCTCTCTCTCACGGTCTATGCTTCTCTCAATGTCTCGCCCTGTCTCAGTCCCTCTCTCCTTCTTCAAATATCTTTCTTCGTAATTCTATGTCTTCCTTTTCGCTCCTCTCCCCTTTCTCCTCCTCTTACAATTCTACGAGACATACCACTCAGAAAAGAAAGGAAAGACACAGAGAGAGGGAGAGTGCAAGGGGCGGGGAAAACCCTTGCCCTCAAGCCCTCTAAAAGAAAAAAGAGAGAGCGCGAGAGAGGGGTGAGCAAGAGAGAAGAGTGAGGAGCTTGGTGAGAAGAAGGTGTAAATTCCCCTTCTCTCCTACGTGTTTGTCGAAACAGAGAAACAGATAAGGGGAAAGCCAAGAGGCCGGCTCTCTCTCCCATGGTCTATGCTTCTCTCCATGCCTTGCGTCGTCTCATTCCCTCTCTCCTGCTGCAAATTTTCTTGAAGCTGATACCTCCAGGGGATGCTGCCTTCATCTCATTCCGCCTTCCCGTACCACTTTAAAAGAAAAGTGAGGAGATAGAGAGAAAGAGACAGGGTCAGGGGGAGAGAAGACACAGGGGCAAGAACAAGGTAGAAGAACATGCAAATTCCTTTCTCTAGTATCTTTTTCTTTCCTTTCTTTTCAGCACTCTCACTCCCTCTCTGCTTCAGCAAATCTCTTTCTTTGTAGTTTTTCCTGTCATTCCTCTCAACCTCCTCCTACTCCTCTTCCAACTCTACGAGACATACCCTCAGAGAAGAAAAGAAAGCGAGGGAAAGACAGAGAGAGAGTGTGCTGCAAGCAAGAGTGTGTGACAGAGAGACCGAGAAAGAAAGAACGAGACCCAGAGCGAGAGCAAGAGCGAGAGACGGAGGAAAGGAGAGGAGAGTGAGAGGGAGGAGCAAGGATGTAAACTCCTCTTCTCAGTTATCTTCTGATCTTATTCTTTAGCAGTAGAAAATCTGATATGGACTTGAGAAGTGGAAAGCCAAGAGACCCTCTCTCTCCCACGGTCTATGCTTGTCTCAATGCCGCGCCCTGTCTCACTCCCTCTCTCCTTCTTCAAATCTCTTCCTCCGTAGTTCTTCCTTTCATTCGTCTCCCCCTTCTCCTCCTCTTTCAATTCTACGAGACATACCATTCAGAAAAGAAAGAGAGAGAGAGAGAGAGCGAGAGAGAGCGAGAGAGCGAGAGAGCGAGAGAGCGAGAGAGACCGACCAAGAAAGAAAGAACGAGACCGAGAGCGAGAGCGCGAGAGCAAAAGCGATGGGGGGGTGAAGAGAAGAGGGAGAAGCAGGTAGGAAGAAAGTGTTCTCCTCCTCTGCTTTATCTTTTGCTCATTCTCTTTAGCAAGAAAGAAGACTGATCTGGACTTGAGAAGTGGAAAGCCAAGAGACCCTGTCTCACGCTTCTCTCAATGTCTCGCCCTGTCTCACCGACGTGATGGACAACAGGGCCCCAATGTTGACCATCCCCCGAAGCCTTTCAAAATGCTCAAACATCACGAAAATGCTCACTTTGAGGGTTTCCAAGGGCGCCACACTATCGAAAATCACTATGATGTGGCCTTAAGGGATTTCTTGAAGGCACGGATGGTTAAACATCGCACAACATGGCGATTTGGAAGTTTCCCCCAATGCCTTTCGCACCGACGTTGTGGACAACCAGCCTGCGTTGACCGGTGCCAATGTTGACCAGTCCCCCAAAGCCTTTCGCACACACGTTGTGGACAACAAGCGTGCTTTGACTAGTCCCAACACACAAGTTGTGGACAACAAGCGTGTGTCTAATGTTGACCAGCCCCCCAAAGCCTTTCGCACACAAGTTGTGGACAACAACCGCGCGCTGACCAGCCCCAATGTTGAGCAGCCCCCGCACCGACGTTGTGGACAACAAGAATGCGTTGGCCAGTCCCAATGTTGAGCAGCTCCCCAAAGCCTTTCGCACACACGTTGTGGACAACAAGCGTGCGATGACCAGCCCCAATGTTGACCAGCCCCCAAGATCCCCCAAGAGCCTTTCGCACCGACGTTGTGGACAACAATGGTTCGCTGACCAGTCCGAATGTTGACCCCCCCCCCCACAGCCTTTCGCACCGACGTTGTGGACAACAAGCGTGCGGTGACCACCCCCAAAATTGACCAGTCCCCCAAAGCCTTTCGCACACACGTTGTGGACAACAAGCGTGCGTTGACTAGTCCCAACGTTGACCAGCCCCCCGAAGCCTTTCGCACTGACGTTGTGGACAACAAACGTGCGTTGACCAGACCCAATGTTGACCAGCCCCCCAAAGCCTTTCGCACCGACGTTGTGGACAACAAGCGTGCGTTGACCAGTCCCAATGTTGACCAGCCCCCCAAAGCCTGTCGCACCCAAGTTGTGGACAACAAGCGTGCGTTGACCAGCCCCAATTTTGACCATCCCCCCAAAGCTTCTCAAAATGCTCAAGAATTACACGAACGAAAATGATCTTGAGGGTTTCCAAGAGCGCCAAACTAGCGAAAACCCCTATGTTTTTGCCTTGAGGAAATTCCTTGAAGGCCCAAATGGTTAAGAATCACAAAAATGCGCAATTTGAGAATTGAACAAATCACAAAACCAGCGAAAAGCCTTATGTTTTGGCCTTTAAGGGTTTGGCCTTTAAGGGGAAGGCCAAACATGATGATAAAAAATCATGAAAATGATCAATTTGAGGGTTTCCAAAGCCAAACTAGCGAAAATCCCTATGTTTTGGCCCTAAGGAAATTCCTTGAAGGCCCAACTGGTCAAAAATCACAAAAATGCGCCATTTGAGAATTTGGAAAAATCACAAAACCAGTGAAAATCCCAATGTTTTGGCCTTGAGGGAAATTATTTGGCCAAAAATGGCGAAAAATCACGAAAATGCTCACTTTGAGGGTTTCCATGGGCGCCAAACTAGCGAAAATCCAAGTGTTTTGGCTTTAAGGAAAAGTCTTGAGGGTCCAATATGGTCAAAATTACCGAAAATGATCAGTTTGATTGTTTCCAAAAGCGCCAAACTAGCGCAAATCGCTGGTTAAGAATCGCAAAATATGCGCCGTTTGAGAGTTTGAAAGAAAAAATCACCAAACCAGCGAAAAGCCTTATGTTTTGGCCCTGAACAAAAATGATGAGAAAAAAATTCACGAAAATGATCTTGTTGAGGGTTTCCAAGAGCGCCAAACTAGCGAAAATCCCTATGTTTTTGCCTTGAGGAATTCCTTGAAGGCCCAAATGGTAAAGAATCACAAAAATGCGCCATTTTAGAGTTTGAAAAAAGTCACAAAACCAGTGGAAATCCCTATGTTTTAGCCTTGAGGGGAATGATTAACGGCCACAATTCACGAAAATGACCCATTGAGGGTTTCCATGGGCGCCAAACTAACAAAAATCCAGGTGTTTTGGCTTTAAGGAAAAGTCTTGAGGGTCCAAAATGGTCAAAACTCACGAAAGTGATCAATTTGAGGGTTCCCAATAAGAGGCAAAACTAGCAAAAATCAGCGTTTTTTTCCTTATGGGAATCCTTGAAGACCCGAAATGGTCAAAAAACACAAAAATGCACCATGTCAGAGTCTTTTCAAATCACAAATCTAAGGCAAATCCCTGTTTGCACCTTACGTGAAATTGGAGTTCCCGAAACCCATTAAAAACACTTGATTCACTTGAAACAGTTTTCTGGGTGGAGAAAAGTGTCTCAAGTGTTTTTGAAACACTTTCAAGAGTTTCGAAACACTTGAAACACTTGAAATAGCTTTCTGGGGGAGAAAAGTGTTTCAAGTGCTGCAAATGTTTTGGAACACTTGGAACACTTGAAAATTTCTAGTTTGTTCGAAAAAAACCAAAAAATATTACAACACTTGAAACAGTTTTCTGAGGGGGGGGGGGGGGGGGTGCTTCAAGCGTTTCAAGTGTTTCAAGTTTTTCAAGTGCTTTCATGGGTTGGTGAAACTCTCTGCAGTTCCGGAAACCCATTAAAAACACTTGAAACACTTGAAACGCTTGAAACACTTGGAACTGTTTTCTGGTGGGAGAAAAGTGTTTGAAACACTTGAAACAGTTTTCTGTGTGTTTCAAGTGTTTCAAGCGTTTCAGGCGTTCCAAGTGTTTCAAGTGTTTTAATGGGTTGGGGAAACTCTCTGCGGTTACCGAAACCCATTACAACACTTGAAGCACTTGAAACGCTTGAAACACTGAAAACAGTTCTCTGGGGGAGGAAAGTTTTTGAAACACTTGAAACAGTTTTCTGAGGGGGGGGAGAAAAGTGTTTCAAGCGTTTCAAGCGTTTCAAGCGTTTCAAGTGTTTCAAGTGTTTCAAGCGTTTCAAGTGTTTCAAGTGTTTCAAGTGTTTCAAGTGTTTCAATGGGTTGGGGAAACTCTCTGGAGTTCCCGAAACCCATTAAAACACTTGAAACACTTGACACACTTGGAACAGTTTTCTGGGGGGAGAAAAGTGTTTCAAGTGTTTTGAAAGACTTGAAACACTTGAAACACTTGAAACACTTGAAACACTTGAAACACTTGAAACAGTTTTCTGGGGGGAGAAAAGTGTTTCAAGACGTTTCAAGTGTTTTGAAACACTTTCAAGATTTTCGAAACACTTGAAACACTTGAAAAAATTGCTTTCTGGGGAAAGAACAGTGTTTCAAGTGTTTGAAAAATGTTTCAAAACACGTGAAACACTTGCAGTACTTCTCTTTTCATACTAGTATAGTACTAACCAAGAGGCTTCCTCACATACACGACCTCACTACACCCTAAAGGTCCTACGTACACATATATATATATGTATATATTGCATACGTGCATACGCATCGTTTGTCACATTATCCAAACTAGACAAACGCAGGGGAAAAAAGCCTACGCATACGTACATGCATACATGGCCTGCACATCTATGTACATGTATATGATGTTCTTGGACATAGACCTATTTCATCCAGCCCTTCGCGGAAAGAAAGAGTTTCCCAAGGCTGCGGCTCGCTGGGTCGGAGTTCTGCGGCCCGCTCTTCCAAATAGTCCTCTCCACAACGCTCTGACGTCTGACAGAATCTGACAGAATCTGACAGAATCTGACAAGCCGCATCAAGCACCCTTCAGACAAAGGCCCCCGTTTTTCAAGTCTGATTCAGGGGACACTCAGAAGGCAAAGGTCGCTGTTCAGATGCCGCTAGCTGACACTCTACACCCCCCTCTTCATCTCTCTTTTCTCACTCTTTTCTCCCTCTTCTGCAAAGGCTGTGGCGGTGTCCCCGCTCCTCGAGAGCTCCCCCTCCATGCCAAAAGAGACAGAAGGGGTAGAAATGCACATGGCGGCAAGCAACATAAAGGGATGTGTGTAAGCCAGAGCCTTCTCTCCTTCTCTCCTTCTCTCCTTCTCTCCTTCTCTCCTTCTCTCCTTCTCTCGTTCTCTCCTTCTCTCCTTCTCTCCTTCTCTCCTTCTCTCCCTCTCTCCCTCTCTCCCTCTCTCCTTCTCTCCTTCTCTCCTCCTTCTCTCCTTCTCTCCTTCTCTCCTTCTCTCCTTCTCTCCTTCTCTCCTTCTCTCCTTCTCTCCCTCTCTCCCTCTCTCCCTCTCTCCCTCTCTCCCTCTCTCCTTCTCTTCTTCTCTCCTTCTCTGCTTCTCTCCCTCTCTCCCTCTTTCCTTCTCTCCTTCTCTCCTTCTCTCCTTCTCTCCTTCTCTCCTTCTCTCCTTCTCTCCTTCTCTCCTTCTCTCCTTCTCTCCTTCTCTCCTTCTCTCCGTCTCTCCTTCTCTCCTTCTCTCCTTCTCTCCTTCTCTCCTTCTCTCCTTCTCTCCTTCTCTCCTTCTCTCCTTCTCTCCTTCTCTCCTTCTCTCCCTCTCTCTCCTTCTCTCCTTCTCTCCTTCTCTCCTTCTCTCCTTCTCTCCTTCTCTCCTTCTCTCCTTCTCTCCTTCTCTCCCTCTCTCCTTCTCTCCTTCTCTCCTTCTCTCCTTCTCTCCTTCTCTCCTTCTCTCCTTCTCTCCTTCTCTCCTTCTCTCCTTCTCTCCTTCTCTCCTTCTCTCCTTCTCTCCTTCTCTCCTTCTCTCCTTCTCTCCTTCTCTGCTTCTCTCCCTCTCTCCCTCTCTCCCTCTCTCCCTCTCTCCTTCTCTCCTCTCTCTCTCTCACACATGTTTTGTTCTCTGCCTTCCGGCTATGCGATCGTCCTCGAGATGAGAGTGATTGTCTAGAGTGATGCACCTCGCTCTCTCTGTCCCTTTTTGCAAGGCTCTGACCCCCCGGAGCAGCTGCGGTCCTGCATCTCCCAGTGCTCTGCCACGCGCTGTTCGATGCGCTGCCGCTCCGCCACCGCTCGCGCGAGGGCTCTGGAAGCTTCTTCCGATTTGTTCCTGGGAGAACTTTCGCCGCATTTCGTCTATGCTAGACTTGCTAGACCTGCACCAGATACCCTGAAGATCCCTGAGGTGCGACGCAACACAGAAACACAACAAAAAACAATGCAACAAAAGATGTCTGCAAAAGAAGCGGCCTCAAGCGGGCCACCGTCGAGTCCGCCAGGCCGCAGTTCTCGAGCTCGATGCTGCAGCCACGGTCCAACGGGAAGGACTTGAGCAGCTCAGCCTGACAAAGTGCGTCAGCGGATTAGCGTGATTCCTGACCAAGTACCGGCGGGGGTGATGCCCTGGGACCTGAGGACCCCACCCCCAGCAGCGCAGCGGAGGAGCAGCCCGAAAGGTTGATGAAGCCTTGGACTCACTCCCTCGCTGTTGTTTCTTTTTGTTTGTTTATTTTTTCTCTCTCTCTCTCTCTCTCTCTCTCTCTCCCACACGCATAACCCCCACCCGGAGGGAGGCTGCCCCTTGGCTCTCTCTCTCTCTCTCCACCCTTAAGCCCCCCCCCGGAGGGAGAGCTGCCCCTAGGGGCGCGCAAGTCCCAAGCGTCAGTCTGTGGTGTGGGCCGCGCTGTTCGCAGCCACTGCTGGTGCAGGGCTTTCTGTCAGAAAATGGGGTGTATACGGGGACATCCTACACGGGCATGTGGAAAGACAGTCCCCCCCGCTGTTGTTTTCTCTCTATCTCTCTCTCTCCCTCTTGCTTTCGCTCTCGCGCTTTCCCCGCAGAAAGTGACCCGTTTGAGTCTCACCCGAATATAACTCTCTTTTCAACTTGGGACCCGGCACAATCTGCAAGGCGTGTCTTGCATAAATGCAATGATCTCCCGAATGCCTCGCGCTAGTCCAAGACATCCAACTGTGCTTTTGGTGAAGACAAACAGAAAGCGCAACCCCATGCGCACGCGATCTCTGCAAGCACGTCGCTCAAGCAGATTGCCATTTGAAACACGAACTGGATCAGGGAAGCAGAGCATCTAGCTCGGACAGTCTTTGCATTGTTACTGTCAGAGACCAGAATCTCAGAAATACGCTGAAGGGCTTGCATCAGGCAAAAAGTTCGGTTCAACAAGAACTTGGCCCGCCACAAAAGCAAAAATATAAAGCAGGAATCCAACACAAATATCCCATGCGACAGCACGTGGAAACAATACGAAAGCATCCTCAACCCATTCCCGGCAGCCTGCAATCAGAAACTGAAGAAGCGTGCAGGAAAACAATTTGCACGGGGGAATTTGCGTGAATTAGTTCGCACAACACAGCCGCAATTTCTGCTGGTTTCTGAAGTTTGTCACTGGGGTTCTTGGCAAAGTGCCAGTGAAATCGGAACAATTCCGCACGACACAGCCAAGGTTCGTTTCTTGAAACTGGAGCTTTCTGAAGCCAATACATTTGGTTTAGAAGTTTAGAAGTATGCTGACCTTGTTCTCCGTGCAAACGGCGCTGCTTCCTGTTCGCTCGGCAAAATGCAGTTCGCATGCGGAGCGACTCTTAAGCATTTGCACACAAAGTAGGAGAGAAAAAAAAAAAAGGATACCTGGTAGTATGGTACTGCCGCCCGACGAGGTTTTCTTGAGTCGCGAATTGGGAACGGAAAAGATGAGAATAATTCCCAAGGTCCACAGAAACGACGACGACACATGCAGGCCAAATCCAACACAACGTACATCGACTTCAAGCTGCTTGTTGCATGTGTCCGCACGATTGCGCGGTTCCCCCCGCCCCCTGGTGCAGCTTTGCAAAATCTGCCTTGCCTTGCGGGGTGATCTGCGCTTCCCCCAACACGAGCTCCTCACAGCCTCCTTCAGCAACGGCCTGCAAGGCAGCTCTGCATCTCAGTGAACGCAACCGACGGAAACACGAACACTGAAAACATCGGAACATGAACACGTTCTCGGTGGAATCGTGTGTAACAAGCAGTTGCCGGAGTCAGCCCTTGGGTTTGCCGGGTGCGCCTCGAGAATCTCACGCAGGTCTTCATCAAAGGCCGACGTGGAGTGGTACAGGGCCGGGTAATTGGAGAAGTCCGCGACACCCTGCAATCATATATGAACTTCACACAGAGCAGACACAGACACACAGACACACAGACCCACGCGCCCACTCACACCGCCTCCGGGGTCCCGCCGTTCCGGGTCAGCTCCACTCGCTGTCGGAACTTGGCGTGCTGCAGACGCGTCCTGACTGGAAAGAGAAGGAGATTTTCCTTCGAGACGCAGAGGAGAGAGGAGAGCAGGGAGGAGGGGAGAGCAGAGAGGAGAGCAGAGAGGAGAGCAGAGAGCAGACTCCTGGGGGGATCTCCGAAGGTTGGTCCGATGACCGACTCGTGCCCGAATGGCCCGGCGTCGCCGTTGCTGCCGAACTGCTCCATTTCCATCTGGGCAATCAGCTCCTCTTCATTCTCTGAGATATCGGAGTTCAGTGCTTTAGGATGGTAGCACTTGCTCCCCGAATCTTCAATCGATGCATGCTTACGCCTTACGCGGAGCACGCGCCGCCAGGAACGGTGTCAGGAACGCAGCGAGGGAACTAGCCGGGAACTGCTTAAGGGGCCCACGTGTCTCCCACACTCAAAAAGCGAGAAGTTTTGGGATCTTTTAGCGGCATGTGCAGCCGCCCAGGGTACGTGAGCATCCTCTGACTCTTGAAGCTGGAGAGGTTGTTGCTGTTGTTGCTGTTGGCGGTCGTAAATGCATTGTCGTCTGTGCGCGTGGGTGCACGTCGCCTTTTGATGCAAACGCACATTTCGTGGCAATCTAGGTTGGCAGGGCCATGCTCTCTCCGGCACTCTCTCCCCCCCACATGAGTGCAGCCCTTTCCTGCGTCATAAGCCGCCGATCCACAAAGGTCTCTTCCGGCAGAAGTTGCTCAAAGATCTCCTGCCGCGTCTCCACGTCTGCGCCTGAGAGCAAACGAGAAGAGATGGCAACCTATTGAAAAGAGACAAAGAGACTTGAGATTTGAGATCTTTGAAGGCCCAGACACGAGATTGAGGCGAAGAAAGGCGAGCAGAAATGAGAGAACGCACGTGAGCCTCACCCTCTCGCCCCGATTTCTGTTCTTCTCTCATAGGCTGTTTCCTCCTTTCTTTCCTTTTCTCTTTCTTGTCTCTGAGGGGCAACTCAGACGTCAGCTTTGGGGACAACAGTCTCGTGGCGATTGTCGACATGACCCTCGTATTCCACCTTCACCTCCGACCCGCACTAATCCTTCGCCTCGTGAGACCTCGTTCGCCCTTGTTTCCGTCACCCTCACAGGACACGTTCATTCATTCCCTTACCGACCACCTGTAGTTCAGTCCAGAGTAGCCCCCCAACAAGAAGCCCCCAGTCCCCCTCAAGCACTTCACCACTTAACCACCAGGTATCGCTCTCTCTCTTGCTTGCTTGCTTGAGCCCGCACGACCTCCCTGGAGGAGGTCGGTTCAAGGGGCACGCTTCATCGAGCTAGTCGGTGTGAAATGGGGGTTTGGTGAAGGACATATCGCTCTGTCTCTCTCTCTCTCTCTCTCTCTTCTCTCTCTATCTCTCTGTCCATCTCCCTCCATCACTCTCCATCTATCTCTTTCTCTCTCCTTCTCTTTCTTTCTTTCTTGGGGCTTGGGGGGCTAACCTGCGGGCGTCCACGCCCGGCCCTGTATTCGGCCGCTCCTTGATACTGGCAGGTGTCCTTAGTAACGAACTAAACGCCCTGAGCCCCACGCCGGTCCCCTTATCTGGGCACAGACCTCGCCCTTGAGACCTGTTAACCCTTTGCTGACTGCCCTGTGACACTTTCCCTATCGGCCCCATACCCACAGGCGCACCCCCACTCAGCCTTCCCTGAACTTTCTATCTCTTTCCTTCGCTTTTCCTTGCTTTCTTCTTCTGCTACAGGGCTTGAGGGGAGCGCAACACCCCCCCCCCCCCCCCCCCGCGCGCAGAGCGCGGCCAGAAGGTATCCAAGGTCAGCGTGATACATGCGCGACTGAGTCTGTGGGCAGGTTTGCATGGAGTTTCCCCGAAAACACCGCTACCGTGCCTTCCCTAGAGTGAACGGTTTCTTGCTTTCTCTCTCTGTCTCTCTCTCTCTCTCTCTCTCTCTCTCTCTCTCTCTCTCTGTCTTTATTTCTTTCTGTCTTTCTTTTCTTACTGCGCACCTAACCCTCGCCCATCGGGAGGGCCGCCCGAAGTCGTGCATTGGTTTAACGTGCTGACCGATGCTCTGGAGCTTCTGGGGGCGAGTTCGCGTTGAATGGGGCTATTTTATCAAAAAAGGGCATCTTCCATCCACTCCCTGTCCTTCTCTCTCCTTCTCTCTCTTTCTCTCTCTTTCTCTCTCTTTCTCTCTCTTTCTCTCTCTTTCTCTCTCTTTCTCTCTCTTTCTCTCTCTTTCTCACTTCTTCTTCTTCTACCCAGCGAAGAGACCCCAAAGGAATCCCGGTCGCGATGTTTGTCTCTCTCTTTCTCTCTTCTCTCCCTCTGTCTTTCTCTCTTCTCTCTCTCTCTCCCTCTCTATCCCTCCCTCTGTCTCCCTCTCTCTTTCTCTCTTTCTCTCTCTCTCTCTCTCGAGCTCGGAGCCGGGGCGCCGTAGATCACCTCCGTCTTCACGCGCTCCTCGGGGCTCACCTGCCCAGAAAAGAAGTCAGCCGAAGTCAGCCGAAGTCCCCGAAGTCCCAAAAGGTCTGGTGGGACCGCCTGCTGGCAGTCCAGGTTGCGCAAGCGTGGAAGGCGATGCAAGACTTGAGCGCGGTACTGTGGAAGTTGAGACCTGCCGTGCCGGCACGCGTAGGGGGGTACGGATGGGTTGGGACAGATGGACAGATGGGACAGATGGGACAGATGGGACATGCGCGTGTGGCGAGTGCACGTCAGGAGCCGACACAGGGTTGGGGTTCAGGTAGAGCTCACTGAGGAAGTGGAAGTCTGCCAGCTGGTCGACCTCCCTGCAAGTCTGTGACAAGGGCCCGGTGGCTTTTGGGGGGAGGCTTGTGACAGGCGCCTGATCTGCGAAAGCCGGTTCTCCGACACCCGCAGCTTGCGCAAGCGTGGGATGTCCTCGGCAGCAGTTCGTCTCTCCCACTCTTTCCCCCTTTTCGCTCTCTTCTCTTCTCAGCTGTCCTGGGCACGCAGGGCCTCCAAGGTGGTGAGGTTGTTATGCCGCACGTCTAGGCTGTGGAGCTTCGACAGCCGCTGGACACCTTTCATGTCACATGAGAGAGACCGAAACTCGGGACTAACTCTCAAACTAATTCAACATCATTCAACCTCTAACCATCTGTTGACCCTCATCTAGCAGGGCACCGATTACATACGGAGAGAGAGAGAGAGGAAGAGAGAAAGATGAGAAAGATAGAACAGTAGAGCAAGCAATAAGCCAGCAAGCGCTTGTAAGAGAGGCCCACGGAGGAAGGGAGGTGGGCGGGCCTTCCAAGTTGTTGAGCTTGTTCTGTGCCAGGCTGAGTGTGCGCAGCTCCAAGTTGTCCAGGTTTCGTAAATCCAGGATGAGGTTTTCGGAAAGGTCCAACATGCGCAGCTCCTTGTTGCCCATGAGCCCATGGCCGATGCAGCTGATATAGTTCCCTCCTTGAGACTGCATGCCGATGGTGGAATCACAGGTTGGGGGGGGGGCACTCGGACACGTAATTCGTTGCAATGAACCTGCGACCATCTGAGCACCTGGCGCAGATTGAGCTCGCGCAAATATCTGTGAACTTTCCAGTCTCCCAGCTCGGCCAGCATGTTGTAGGACATGTCACATGTCTCTAGCCCGTCTGGTGCTGTAAAGTTCTGGCTCCTCACGCCAAGTGAGTCTGGGACAGAAAACCTCCGACACAGCCGAAAAGCCCGCTTCAAGCTGTGTCCGCACATGCAGCAACAACTTTGGACAGCTTGGAAAAATCACAGTGAGCTGAGGGTTTTCAAGACCGGAGCGGATAGCAAGTCATATCCGAACACGGGGCGAGTTTGTTCAGAAGGAGCATCTTTTGAGTGTTGGTGTGCAGCATCGCAGCTTCTATGCTTCTGCTCACCAAGCAGGAGTGTGGGGTTGCTGATTGGTTAGGCATGGTGAATGTCGAGACGCAAGTACCGATTCTCAAGACATACCCATACATGCACGCGCAAGGATGAAAAGTGAAGGCTAACTCAGCACAAGTCGGTAAGTGTCTAGGAAGGGCCTGGGGCTGTTGTGAGGTTGGTCGGTTCCCCTGTTGCCCTAGTCCAGCCCTCCCGAGTCTCGGTACAGTTTTTTGGTACCCATCTCGAACCCAGGTTGGGGGATCCAAATCCAAAGGGTGCGAAGGCGGGGGGCCGATGGCATACGTCAGCACCATTGGAAATTCGGTTGACAAATGAATTTCCCACATGTTCACACACTGTTTCGACTCTCACCCCGACACGCACTGGCACATGTTTTTTCCGTCCTGATTAAGAGATTGTGGCTGGCGTTCAGGTGCAGCAAGTGTCTCAAAGCCCCGACAGGCTCCAAGCCCCTCAAGCGATTCCTGGACACCTCGGGGAAAAAGCAGCACAAAACGAGACAACGAGAGTAATTGTACTGTACAAACAAGACACGAAGACACGGAGTGGGAAAGGGGGGGGAAGGGGGAGGAAGGGGGGGGGGGGAAGCACACCTCGAGGATGGTCACTCCAGATGCAGTCGAAGGAGCGTTCAGAAACTGGAGTTGCTCCCACTGCCGAATCTTGACGAGGGAGGTGAGATTCATACCCATGAGATCACACCTGAGCCAAACACCAAAGAAGTAAACTGAAATTCTGTCTGCCCCTGGGATCAACTGAGGGCTTGAGCCGAACGTAGGCATGTTGCCGGGTTCCTGTGTCGCCCAGCTGCGACAAGCCTTCCCGAACCTGATCCTGTGTCAAGGCAAGCCACAAGAGTCGCGATTGTTTGGGGCTAGCCATTAATTGCGCTATCGCGCGTCCCGTGGGCGCCTCCGTTACAGGCACAGGGTCATCGCGCACGGTCAGTGTCTCATGAGGCAGCCACCTCAGAAAGCGCGCTTCGGCCACTCCACAGTTCTCACGCCTCTCCAAGCTAAAGCAAAAAAGCAAAAAAGCAAAAAAGCAAAAAAGCAAAAAAGCAAAAAAGCAAAAAAGCAAAAAAGCAAAAAAGCAAAAAAGCAAAAAAGCAAAAAAGCAAAAAAGCAAAAAAGCAAAAAAGCAAAAAAGCAAAAAAGCAAAAAAGCAAAAAAGCAAAAAGCAAAAAAGCAAAAAGCAAAAAAGCAAAAAGCAAAAAAGCAAAAAAGCAAAAAAGCAAAAAAGCAAAAAAGCAAAAAAGCAAAAAAGCAAAAAAGCAAAAAAGCAAAAAAGCAAAAAGCAAAAAAGCAAACAAGCAAAAAAAGCAAAAAAGCAAAAAAAACAAAAAAGCAAAAAAGCTGAAGCAAAAGCTCAAGCTAAGGTAAGGTGCAGGTCCATCTCCCCGTCCACAGGCGCAGCCGTCCAGGTCGGCTTCTCCTCCTGAGCCCTTAGCGCAGCACTTCATGGCATTTCTCACTGCTTTTTTCTGCTTTTTCTGCTTTTTCTGCTTTTTCTGCTTCCTGTCGCTTCAGTCATACTCAGCATTCTGTGGTCCACGCGGTTGCGGGACCGCAGGAGGAAGCAACTGCCACTGCAGCCTGAGAATTCTTTCAACAATGAAGCTCTCCATTCTTTGAGTTCTTTTGCCCTTGCTCGGTGTCGGATGTGTCGGGAGAGAATCTGAGGGCCAAGCCCGTAGTAGGTGTTCGCGGCATTGAGTGCTTCGTCCACCACCAGCTGGACAGTTTCTGGGAAGAAGGCTGAGGACTCCATATAGCCCCATCCACCGTATCCTCGGCAGTCCGAAAAGACACAGTGGACAAGCAATTAACATGTCACAAATTCTTGCGGTAGCAGTCGTCGGCAGGAGATGCCAGGAGACGCCAGGAGTAGGTAGGATTCAGATGGCTCATGTTGGCTTCATGTTGCGAGTCGACTCACTTCTTTGCAGCTTTGCGGTCAGCAGAGGTCTGTCTCGTGGCCTGTGGCTCCAGAGCACTGGCCGTCACGAAGCATCGTGAACAAGACACGAGTAATGGTTGTTGTCACCCGCCGAGCTGACGCAAAGCAATATAGCGCAGAAGCTTGGTACACCTGTCGATTGGTTGCTTAGTGCCCGTCATGCTGTCACAGCCGCCATGCTTGTCTTCGCGTGTTCCAAGTTCTCCGGATGCAGCAAAGCTTAGGGCTTAGGGTTCAGGAGTAGTGACGCAAAACACAGAGCTTCTCAAACAGACGCTGCCTTTCATTATTAGAACGCCGATCTGGGGATCAGGCGTTGTACGAATGCTTCCGCATCTTCGGGGGAAACCTTGGAACTGAACAAGGTCTTCAAGCTCTTATGCAGTGTCTCGGCACGTTTCCGCCCAGCAGCCATAGGCACTTGATCACCACATGCCTATGACGGGCAAAGGCAGAGAAGCGCAGGCGGCCAACATCTTTGTGATATTCTGCTCTTCCATCTCTTTGAGAGCATCCCTCTTTGCCTCTTTGCCTCTTTGCGTGTTTGCCTCTGCTTCTCTGCTTGCTCTCGAGCCTTGGAGCGCTCGCGCAGGTCCGTCGCCAGGGAGACAAGCAGCCAGGGAGTCTCAGACTCAATCTGCCATAACATCGGCCTGAGCGGATGTGCGCTCTGTTCCCATTTGGTTCTTTGGCTGAGTTCCTCAGAGGCTGCTGCAACCACTTGGTCCTGATGCTGGTCATAGAGTCTGGCTTGTCCGGACGGAAGCAAAGGAGGATGACCTTAAAGCAGCTGCTTTTCTGTAGCCCAAGGAGTGGTTCTGGCAACACTCTCAAAGTGGTTTTGCGCGTCGGGAGCCGAGCATGCGAGGCGTGGATCGCGGCATGCTGCATCCTTTCAAACCGCGGACCTCGAAGCGTTTCAAAGCTGTCTCTCTCTCTCTCTCTCTCTTGCTCTCTCTCTCTCTCTCTCTCTCTCTCTCTTTCTCTCTCTCTTTCTCTCTCTCTCTCTCTCTCTCTCTCTCTCTCTCTCTCTCTCTCTCTCTCTCTCTCTCTCTCTCTCTCTCTCTGTCTCTCTCTCTCTCTCTCTCGCTCGCTCTCCGTTGAAAAATCATTGATTGAAACGTTGTTTGTTCCCCTCCTTCCCAGAAGCCTGCGGCGCCGTCCGTGAAGCGCACCCGGCACGGCTCCCCCTCAAGCTCCACCATCGCAACCTGCCAAGCGAAACACAAAACACACATAGAGCTGAAACTTTGTAAACATATAGATAAAAACACTTACGTACATATACATATATACGTCTATGCATATATACATCTAGACATCTATACATATATACATATATACATATATACATATATACATATATACATATATACATTATATATATATACATGGAGTATAGAGTTGATGTTTGTGAAAAAGGGCGTGTCTGAAGGCCCCACCATGCTCTCCAGGTTCGGCAGATGGTCGAAAGGCTCGGAGTGCTTGGCGAAGTCCTCTCTTTCTGCACTTGCGTGAAACCCTCAACTAACTGTGACTACTTTTTTAAACAACCGAAGCTCAGCTGTTCGTTCTGAGAGCTCTAGCTCGCTCTCTCTCCCCCTCTCTCTCTTACTCTCTCCCTCTCTCTCTCCCTTTTATTTCCTTCTGTCTCTTGGAGTCCTTGCTTTGAGCGCCGCTGCTAGCAAGGCTGGCGACTTGCTTGTAGCATTGCAGAAAGGCAGACTGCCCAATCCCAGCTTCTCCGAGCAAGCATACATGCAAGCATCGGTCTGGCTGCATCGCGGCAAACCCTGGTCACAGCCCTGGCAGCCTCTGCATTGCTGCTAACAGCTTTGCCCCCCCAAAGCTCGAGCCACAAACGGGAATCGTGAGCTCCCCAAGCTGCCTCCTACTGGCCTTGCATGCTCTTGCCAGCCGCCAAGCTTGGCGCCTGCGCGCCGCCGCTTGCAGAACGGTCTTCTTTTCACGTGTCGCAGGGCTCTGTGAGGGCTCTGCGAAAACTCTGCGAGGGGTCTGCATGAGCTCTGCAAAAGCTCTGCCGGGAGCTCTGCGAAAGCTCTGCTGGTGAAACGAAAGACGAACGACGGTTTGACAAGGTCGAGGTCTGGGGGAAGGAGGCCGGCGACAGTGACGGCTAGCTTACAAGCTAATGGTGAGCCTGGTGAGCCGTCCGCTTTCACGAAGGCGAGTTCGGAAGAAGTCAGACTCAACCGATATAGGCTCGGTTCGGGGCTCGCTTGTACTCGAGGAGGCCTCAGCAAAGCCCACATCCGACTGCGCTTGTGACGCGGAAGCCGCGGAGGGGGAGTCGCCCTCATCACCTTCAAAGAAACGAGGCGACGAGGAAATCACCATATCACACCTTTCCTTCTCTCGATTCTCTTGCATCTCCACTGAATTTTCACCCTGTGCCCTCCTTTGCCATTAAGTGCTTCTGGGACGCTGCTATCCTCGACAAGGAGGCTCATCGCGACTGGGTCTGCCTCGGGATTCAGCAGGTTTTGCATTGGCCTTTGCAGCCTTTGCAATGTGCCCATGTGACATCGCGGAGAATCCGACAGGTCCGGCATCACCATCCCGGCCCCCCCGCCCCCCCCGCCCCCTTTCCTAGCCGCTAGTCGATCCTAGCCAAGAGCATGAATGAGTTCAAGGAGGAATGGCAAGAACTGCGCCAGTTGAAAAGCCAGCTTTCGGGCCTGCATCAGCGCCGTTTGGTCTGCTTCAGCTTGGCCTTCGAGCGGCACCACTTTCCTGCAATTTCTGGTGCTGCCACGCAGTTTACAAAAGCTCAGTTCACCATCTGCTTTTCTCCTCTCTCTCTCACATGTTGTGTTGAGGTCCTTCGCCTCCTGACTTTCTCCTTTCTGCGCTTCTGGTCCTTCACAGAAGCTGCCACGCCTGAGTCCAAAACAGTCCAACGAGGTAAAGAACCGTGAGGCAATCTGATGCATCTGGCCGAGTCTGCCGAGTCTGCCCCCATCTCATCCCATCTCATCCCATCTCCCACCATCTCCAGGCTCCAGACGCTTGGCATGCGCGGCATCTGCCAAGCGGCGCTTCGCCTCTCGGAACGGAAAACGTCTACCAGGCTGCCATTTTCCTTCGATGTTCACGCCTGAGATTCACACTACATCCCTTGCTGTCTTGCCTCGTTCTACAATATCTGTGTGTACATGTTTCAATGTATCCTCATGCATTATGTACATATTGTAGCCATACAGAGACAACGGGGGAGGACTTTTTCTGGCAGCCTTGATGGCTTCGGCGCGCTCCGGAAAAGCCTCTCCTGGCAGCCCAAGGACCACGAGCTCACTGTCGCAAAGGCAAAAGCAAAAAAACATTTCCTTTTTCCCTCGCGCCCGCTCTCCCACTCTATCTTCTGCTGCTTTTTGTTCTTCTGCTTCTGCTTCTGCTTCTGCTTCTTCTTCTTCTTCTTCTTCTGATTTTCTTCTTCTTCTTCTTCTTCTTCTTCTTCTTCTTCTTCTTCTTCTTCTTCTTCTTCTTCTTCTTCTTCTGCTTCTTCTTCTGCTGCACGCTTGGAGCAAGCGGTTCAGTGGGACATGCGCGTGAAAGTTTAGTTGGCCCATTTTGGTCCGTCCGGACAACACTGGTAGGTGGGCTTGCTGGCATGCAAAGATCGAAAACGAATTCCGACCCAGTCACCTCCGGCAAAATTGACCCCGCTTCGGAAGATGCAAAAAACTTCCTCATGGGCCTTAGTTGTACTGGGGCTGCTTGGTTCATCTGTTGTGCCCCGGCAGTTGGTCGGATGCGCAAACGCCGTGCCCCAGTCCGCATTCCCCTAAGCTCCGGCATGTGGAGTCGGGAGTGCACCCGTGCACCACACTGTTCAAAGGCAAAGTCAAAGCTATTTTTCGGAAGGGCTCGGGCCTCACGACGGTTCACCGTCGCATAAATTATAGCACTCAATTCCTCCAGACGCAGCTTACCCACTTCGGCGCATTTGAGCTTTCTGCTGAAAGGAAGTGGCCTGCGCGTGAGATTTACTAAGTTACTAAGCTGAGATTTACCAAGCTGCAACAAGCTGAGTAAGCTGAGATTCACTTCAAGCCACAACAAGCGGATTAACCTGAGATTTACCAACCCAAGCTATCCCCTCTAGCCACAGCAATGCGGGGTACATTGGTCGGAGTTGGGAAAATCAAAACCCTAGAGCAGCACCCGCATAGGGATCGCCCAAAGGCATTCTGGTATGGAAGCAGTTGGACTTTGTTGGTAGCACCCTCATCACCGGCAACCAGAACACTCCTCTGTCTTGAGGTGGAGGGGTAGAAAATGTAATCTGCAGAACTATGAGAATGTAGGAATTTGCCCGCGCCGGCAAACAGGAAAATGTAGGATTTCAGATCAGCATGAATGCTCAACACATGTGCTGAGATGCGCACAAAAGAGACCGGGAGAGACCGGGAGAGACCGAGGGAGAGAGAGAGAGAGCGTGGGTAGGCCTTGAAGCTGAGACCCCTAAACCCCCTTAAGACCTTTAAGCTTTTTGAGGCCCCCTAAACCCCCTTGAGGCCTCTTAGCTGTCTACCCCTAAGCCTATACAAACCCCTTTCAGACCTCTACTGTAAGCGTGTGTGTGTGTGTGTGTGTGTGTGTGTGTGTGTGTGTGTGTGTGTGTGTGTGTGTGTGTGTGTGTGTGTGTGTGTGTGTGTGTGTGTGTGTGGTGTGTGTGTGTGTGTGTGTGTGTGTGTGTGTGTGTGTGTGTGTGTGTGTGTGTGTGTGTGTGTGTGTTGTGTGTGTGTGTGTTGTGTGTGGTGTGTGGTGTGTGTGTGTGTGTGTGTGTGTGTGTGTGTGTTGTGTGTGTGTGTGTGTGTGTGTGTGTGTGTGTGTGTGTGTGTCTGTGTGTGTCTGTGTGTGTGTGTGTGTGTGTGTGTGTGTGTGTGTGTCTGTGTGTGTCTGTGTGTGTCTGTGTGTGTCTGTGTGTACAGCTTCCACTAAGCTCCGTTACAGCTCCGTTGCACCTCCGTTACAGCTTCCGTTACAGATCCGCGGCAGCTCCGTTACAGCTCCGATGCACCTCCGTTACAGCTCCGTTACAGCTCCCTGCACCTCCGTTACAGCTCCTTTACAGCTTCCGTTACAGCTTCCGTTGCAGCTCCGTTGCACCTCCATTACAGCTCCGTTACAGCTTCCGTTACAGCCCGTTACAGCTCCATTACAGCTCCGATGCACCTCCGCTACAGCTCCGTTGCAACTTCCGTTACAGCTCAGTAAAAAAACAGCTCCGCTACAGCTCCGATGCACCTCCGTTACAGCTCCGCTACAGCTCCCGTTACAGCTCAATTGTACAGCTCCGTTACAGTTCCGTTACAGGTCCGTTATCAAGTTGCGCTTCTGCTACGGCTCCGTTACAGCATCGTTGCAGCCGGCAGCGCTCCGTTGCAGCCTTCCGATACGGCTCCGTTACAGCTCCGCGACAAATCCATTACAGCTCCGCTCCTTTCCGTTACAGTTTCCGTTACAAGCCCCGTTACCGGCGAGCATTTCTGTCATAGTAGAGGCCTGCAAATGGTAGAGCCCCGCCCAAAACCCAAGGTCTTTAAGCTTTTTCAAACCCCTAAACCCGCGCAGGGCCTCTAGGCTTGCTACCCCTAAACCCCTTTCAGACCTCTAAGCTTCTGGAAGCCCCTAAACCCCCTTAGGGCCTCTAAGCTGAAACAGCTAACCCCCTTAAGACCTTTAAGCTCTTTGAAGTTAATCAACTCCTCAAGGCCTTGAAGGGTTTTTTGAAGCCCCTAAATTGCATGCTGAAGCTTTGGGTGGTGACAGGGGGAGGCGATCTGGCTTCAATTCCTCAGCTTCTTTTTTTGTCCTTTGTTCTGCGGCCATCTAAAGTGCCAACTCGTGCCGCGCCGCTCCACCCTCAGGATGGGCAGACTTCTCTTTCAAAAAAAACAAAATCCGATTTACTGAATGAGAGAGGGTCTTTTTCATCGAGTTCCTGGCCTGAGCGACCTTGAGGTGGGGGTTTAGAAAAATGAGGTTAACATAAATCGGCGGTTGTAGTTCTGCAGCTGGCCTTGGCTGGAACGCCGGTTTCCAATGCCAGGAGGGTCTCGTAAAGGGCCTATGACGCAGGGCTGCGGCAAGTTTTTTACGCCAAAAAATTGGTCCCAAACGATCACGCACCTTGGCCGTCCTGAACATTTTTGAGACACTCATGGAATCGCCTTCCAAAAATGGTCCTGGATAATGAACCACTTGGACAAACAGGACCATGTTTTCTTACTTATCCTATACCTTAAGACCGTTTAAGCTCAAACCCCTAAAAAGCCCTTAAACTATTTGAAGCCCCCAAACCCCGTTAAGGCTTCTTCTTTTTGAAGCCCCTATACCCCCTTAAGGCCTTGAAGCTGAAACCCCTAAACCGGCCCTAAACCCCCTCAAGACCTTTAAGCCTTCAAGCTTTTTGAAGAAGGCCTCTTAGCTGTCTACCCCTAAACCTTTGAAGCTGCTAAACCCCCTTCAAAGGCCTCAAACTTGCTGAAGCTCTGGGAGGTGACGGGGGAGGTTTGGCTGCAATCCGAGTTTTTTGGTCATTTCATACGGCCATCATTTAATGAGGCTTGCGAGCATGGAGAGAAATTGGCACCAGATTCGCCAACTACATTTAGTTGACATGCATTGATCCAGGCCCCCACCCAGAGCTTCAGCAAGTTTGGTGCTCTAATCCTCGAGCGCCTTTATCCCCCCCTCCCCCCGTGAGCCTCAGCAGGTGCGGCGTTCCAATCGACCACGTAGAAAAACGTAGAATCCCCTCTTTTTCAAGAATCAGCTCGACCCCCCCCCCCCCCCCCCCCCCGCAATCGTGGAAGTTGCCGCAAAACCCGAAAATGCAGACAAGCTTTCCTGCATTTATGCAGCCCCCCCCCCATCCTACATGTATTAAGGCGGTGGGGATCCCAAGCTGAGCACTCTGAGACTTACCAAGCTGAGATTTACCAAGCCACAACTAGCTGAGCAAGCTCAGACTTACCAAGCCACTACCAGCTGAGTACACTGAGATTCACCAAGCCACAATAAGCTGAGCGAGCTGAGATGAGAAAGCTGTGCGTTACCAAGCAACAGTAAGCTGAGTAAGCTGAGATGTACCAAGCCACAACAAGCTGAGTAAGCTGAAATTTACCAAGCCACAACAACCTGAATAAGCTGAGATTTGCCAAGCCACACAAGCTGAGATTTCCAAGCCACAACAAGCTGAGCAAGCTGAGATTTACCAAGCCACAAGCTGAGTAAGCCGAGACATACCAAGCCACAAGACTAAGAAGCTGAGTAAGCTGAGATTTACCAAGCCACAACAAGCTGAGTAAGCTGAGATTCACTTCAAGCCACAACAAGCGGAGTAAGCTGAGATTTACCCAGGCACAGCAAGCTGAGTAAGCTGAGATTTGTCAAGCCACAAAAAGCGGCGTATGCTGAGATTTACCAAGCCAGGACAAGCTGAGCTGAGATTTGACAATCCACGATACTGAGTAAGCTAAGATTGACCAAGCCAAGCAAAAAGCTAAGTAAGCTGAGATTTACCAAGCCACAACAAGCTGAGTAAACTGAGATTTGCCAAGCCACAACAAGCTGAGGATTAGCAAGCCACAACAAGCTGAGCAAGCTGAGATTTGCCAAGCCACAACAAGCTGAGTAGCTGAGATTTACTTTAGCTTAGACGCAACAAGCTGAATAAGCTGAGACTTACCAAGCCACAACCAGCTCAGTAAGCTGAGATTTACCAAGCCGAACAACAATCTAAGCAAGCTGAGATTCACCAAGCCGCAACAAGCTGAGAAAGCTGAGATTTGCCAAGCCACAACAAGTTGAGCAAGCTCAGCTTTTCCAAGCTACAACAAGTTGAGTAAGCTGAGATTCACCAAGCCACAAGAAGCTGCGAAAGCTGACACAACAACAAGCTGAGTAAGCCGAGACGTACAAGCCACAACAAGAGGCACCATGCCACAACAAGCTTTTAGCTAAGATGTACCAAGCCACAAAAAGCAGAGTAAGCTGAGATTTACCAAGCCACAACAAGCCGAGTAATCTGTGATGACTAAGCCGAGATTTACCAAGCAACAACGAGCTAAGTAAGCTTTTACCAAGCCACAACAAGATTTGCCAAGCCACAAAAAGCTGAGTAAGCTGAGATTTACCAAGCCACAAGAAGCTGAGTAAGCAGCGATTTACCAGTCCACAGCAATCTCAGCTAGCTGAGCTTCACCAAGGCTCAACGAGGTGAGTAAGCCGAACCACAAGCTGAATAGGCTGATGTTTACCAAGCCACAACAAGCTGAGGAAGCTGAGATATCTCAGCTTACTCAGGCCGTGGCTTGGAAAATCTCAGCTTACTCAGGTTGTTGTACACATCATGACTCCCTGAGGAGCGATCACCGGCCACGTAAGTCCAACTCATCCACGCACTGCCTCACTCTCTCACTCTGTCACTCTCTCACTCTCTCACTCACGCTCTCTCGCTCGCTCTCACGCTCGCTCTCACACTCGCTCTCTCTCTCTTTCTCTCTCGCACTCCCTGTCTCTTCTCTCGCTTCTCTCTCACTCTGTTCCGCCGCAAAGATGCCTCGCCAACATGTCTTCACATGTCTTCCTCTGAGGCCTGGAGCTCACAAAGCTACTCCGCGCTCCTTGGCACGCAAGCTTCTAAACACGGGACGGCTCTCCTCCCCACAGTCAGAGGAAGCTCCATGACTCCATCATTTTCTTCTGCACGCTTCCCCAAGAGTCTCTGTTTCCCTTTCCCTCTCTCTCTCTCTCCCTCTCTTGCTCGCTCTTGCTCTCTCGCCCTCAACCTCACTCTCAAGCGCTCGCTTTTCCAGGGCCCCTTCCAGAAGCTAACAGCGGCAAGACTTGCGCAGGGCTGTGAGCCTCTCTCTGGGTGTCTGTGGTGTGGGACGCTTTGGGCACCCGCTTTTGTGCACCCCCTTCTGGTGGCCTGCCACAGTTTCCACGGCCAGCTCGAGCTGCTTCAGCGCCGACTCGGACAGCACGTGCCGGGCGGCCCCAGCCCCGGGCCTCAACAAACAAGCGAATAAAAAAAACATAAAAACACAAAACAAAATGAAGGGAGAAAGGGAAATGTTGAAACAAGCAACAAAGGGAAAGGAAAGAGTATATCGCCTCTGCTCTATTCCTCGAATCAGATGTTAGGCTACAGTACCCACCGCATCCCTCCACGCTGGCAACCAATGCCGTCGCCATGGCATCATTTACCCAGATCCCATCGCTTGTCCAACTTGTTCCGTTGACACAGGATGTATTTGTGGCCAATTTCACCCCGCTTCGAGCTGTATGCAGCAACTGCTGTAGGGCAGCGGCGCAATCCTCCTTCTGAAACGTTTCGCACACATGCAACATGCAAAGCCGCGATGGCCCAGCGCAGTTGCAGGGAGGGCCCTGAAAGTATGTTTCTTCATTTGCGTCCTTTGACCCCAGGGCTTCATGCACAAAGGACCTGTTGAGTGGCCACTTGGGGGAACTTGAATGAACCACAAGCTTAAAGTGCTCAAGATCAAGGCACTGCTGGAGGTCTTCCTGGTGCTTCGCCACGTTTTTCAGGAGCATCTCGAAGCCTGGTGGCAAGCGAAGGACCCGAGCCCCAACGTGAACTTCCGTTACAACTGCACACCTCCGCACCACTTTGCGAGCATACCGCGTAAATTGCCCCATTGCGCCTTCGAAAGTCAACGGCTGCTCAATCCCAGCTTTGGACAACGACTCCATGTCCTTGCCGAGAGCTCGCAGAAGCCTTCTTTGCTTGCTAGCCCTCCGCACTGGCGACAAGACTGCTTCAAGAGCCTTTCCTAGGGTCCGCCCCAAGTCACGTCAAGACGCCACTCCAAGACTCCAAGACTCCAAGACCACTTCAAGGGCCCAAAAGCGAAAATGACGAAAGCGAGCAGAGCGTGTTGTGGAAAGCGCCGAAGAGTGTAGGGACAGAGCACGGCAACAGCAACATCAGCGACCCGAGAGCCGAAGCCTGAGAGTGATTTCTCACGGTACTACGTTGCTACGCTGCCACGCGCTCTACGCAGAAGTTTTCTCCTTGTCGACTCGACCCAGGAAGGCCGCCAGATCGGCAACAGAGAGGACGCCGTCCTTTGCACATCTATGCCCAGAAGAGCCTTCTCAGAAAAAGACAAAAAGCAAGACAAGAGTGGAAAAGAGAGCGCAAGGTTTAGAGTGGGGACAGAAGAGTGGCGTGTTTTGCTTTCTCTCTCGAGTCTGTGCGGAGATGCCAAGAGTCTCTGTTTCCCTCTCTCTCTCTCTCTCTCTCCCTTTCGCTCTGTCTCTCTGTCTCTCTGTCTCTCTGTCTCTCTGTCTCTCTGTCTCTCTGTCTCTCTGTCTCTCTGTCTCTCTGTCTCTCTGCCTCTCTGCCTCTCTGTCTCTCTGTTTCTCTGTCTCTCTGTCTCTTTCTCTTTCTGCTCTCTCTTCTTCTTCTGCGGGGCATAGGGGGAGCCCCCCGGCGCACCAGGCGCGCCCGAGATGCGTCAGTTTCGTGTGTGAAATTGCAACGATGGACTGTGTGTCAGATGGAACGGTTGCTATGTGACTGTTTCCCGGCACTGTTGGCCAGAATAGCCCCTGACTTTGTTCTGCCTCTCTCCGTGTCGCTCTGTCTCTCTCACTCTCTCACTCTCTCTGCGGTTCGAGCACCTCGTCCCGATCCATCTGGGCGAAGACCGTCCGGCCCAGCGGGCTCGAGAGCAGCTCCTCCCACTCGGTCACCGTCTCTGTAACACTCTCTCACAGACTCTCACTCAAGAAAGACAAATGGAAAAAGAAAGTGAACGAGAAAAAGAGAGAGAGAGAGAGGTGAGAGGCAGAGGTGCAGGGAAACACAGCGAAAACAAAGAGAGGCAGAGGCAGAGAGAGAGAGAGAGAGAGCAACAGGGAGAGCAGCAGGGAGAGCAGCAGGGAGAGCAGCAGAGAAGTACAAAAGCTCTCTCAATTCCTCTGAGCCCTCCTGGGGTCCCATGGCGACGGCCAGAAACGTGGTGTAGTCGAGCAGTCCCACCCCGTCCCCATCGGCCTGCAAAGCTGCAGCGCTGGGCAATTGCTTACGCAAGAAACAGTTCCCACTCGTGGCTCTCATGACTCTTGAGTGCTACTGTGACAGGGTTAAGAACTTTTTGAATGCAACAACGACCTGGAAACCACCCGCGCAGGCAGTGAAAGCAAGACTTATCAAAAAGAAGACTCAGAGGCTTACCCTTGAAAGTATTTTGTGCAATACAGATAAAAGGGCAACCACTAAACGACAATTCATAGCACCGGGACCATATGTCCGGCCAGCAAAGCATGTTACGCACTAGCGGCTCAAGCTTTCAGGCTGGGCCCAGGCTGTCAATGTTCCCCACACAAACTGGGCATCTTGTGGGTTCGTTTTTGGGTTCGTTTTTGGGTTCGTTTTTCCGAGGCGGGGGAGGAAGGGGAAGGAGGGGACCATTCTGCAGCAGGCTGGCAAAAGGCAAAAGACTCAAATCCGTCCGCACTGCACGAACTGAGAATTCGAGGGGCCAAATTTCTTAAAGCTAGAAAAATCGAAGGGGATTTCTCTCTGTTTGTAAGGGAGATGGAACGTGAAGAATGGAGTGGGGCTGCGCATGAACTAAGGGCTGTGCGGCAGCCGCCGTTTCCCCCCGAGCAAACTGTGTGGCTGAGATTTGCAGGTGGCCAACAAAGCTCTGCGCCAACAAGCCCCTTTGTTCACTTGATGTTCACTTGCTCCTCATGCAAAAATAGTTTTCGCATGCTTTCGACCCTGACTTGTTTAAGATCCTGAGCCAAATCGGCCGCTGAATCCTAGAACATGAAAGGCTGGATTTTTCAGAAAAATGTCAGAAAAACAATTGGATTTCTTCTTTGCGAAGTCGAATCGAAGGGCTGGATTTCGTATCCAGGGCGTGAAGCAAGATTGCCTTAAGGCACTCGTTCCTCATTCAAAAACTGGCTTGAGGTGACCTTTTCTGAAAGAAGATTCAGAGAAGGGGGCTTCATAAACAAGAAATCTAAAAGTACCGTGTGTCTGTCACACAGTAGTCACGGCTGGAACTCTCCTCCAGCAGCAAAAGGTCCAAGTCTCTTGGAACTTCCTTGCCTCAACATCTCACAGATCTCACTCATCATGTTTCTCACACTGAGAGTCCCGAAAAGCTGTGTGAGGCACAGCCCATTTTTGGAAGCCGGTGTCGCAAATCCTCTTCCTTAGGTGCGATCTCAGACATCCGAACCCGAGCTCTGCAAACGCGTATGTCCGAGTCGCACACTGAAAGACAAAAGGTAGGAAAGCCACGAGCCGAGAGGGCGCGAAACGCAGAACGAAAAGCTCCATCTACGACATCTCGTTGGGGTGGTTTGTGACATTGAACGACAGCAGACTCAATAGGCTCGCGGTGACACATAGACTTGACAAATGCTTGGCCAACACACTTCTAGCCGGCGCATTGGCACGGCACGCTGGCAAGACGCGCTGCCCCACACAGCAGATGTCGGACACCAGTATTGGCGCTTGCAGCAGGCGTTTTTGGCGCATGCGGACGGAAACCCGTGCGCGCACTAGAAACCACCCGCTTCGCACAAATCACAGACCAGTCTCACAGTGGGACCGATTCGCGTGAAGCGGCGGAATCGCGCACTGGAAGATCTGCACCCGACATTGGACACTTGCGGGTGCGACGACTGCAGTCTTGACGTCCTCAAGTGACAAGGACATGCGGTTTTTTTTTTCGTCTTCTTTTCGTCTTCTCTTCTGTGACTCTCTGGAAGTCTTCTGAGCCTCTTGGGCCCCCGTGCGGTGAGGAGGCCATCGGGGGACCAGCCGTCCAGGCGCTGGAAGGCCGCCCGCAGCGGTGCCAGCGCCTCCTCAGCAAAAACTCCCATTTTTCACCCACACATTCTCTCACATTCTCTCACATCTCTCACATCTCTCACATTCTCTCACATCTCTCACATCTCTCACAGAAGCTTGGTTTTCGCTCCTTTTTCGGGAGCACGCGCGCTCGTCGCAGTGAAGACCCCCAGTTTGATTGAATCGCAACTCGGGCTTCTACTCCCGTTCCCTCCCTTTCCTCAAAAATTGTGTTTACTCCCAATCTCTCTCTCTCTCTCTCTCTCTCTCTCTCTTTAGGTGCGCAACGAAGCAAGCCCATCCCAGGCCATTTATTGGGTTCTGCTCTCACAAGCTCTCACACTCCATGCCTCGCCGAGCAAGTCGGCCCCAACGAGTAAGATGGCTCTGGACACGCTGTCGGCAGCGCAGAAGGCCCGCAGCCGCAGCAGGAAATCACGAGGCAGCTGGGCTCGAGAACCCCACCACCTGCCAGTTTCTCAAGGCCCATGTAGCCACCCTTACACTTCAGCCCAGGGCCAACTCTAGGTCCTTAGGCTGCTAATGCGCTAGGCGCGGCACCCTGCTGCTTCCACGGGTGCCGCTTGCAGCTCCCCGGCAAGCGTCTTCGTCGAAGACTTCGCGATCCTCTCTGAGCGCTCAAAACGGCTTTCCATACGCTGCTTCTTACCACGGTTACCACGGACCCAAAGCACGAAAGGCGCACGAAACTCGGGGGCCTTGGTCCTCAAATAACCCCGTGAAGCAGGAAAAACATCCTGGGACACCTCCCGACACCTCCTAGGTCCTACGTGCAGGTTGCAACATGAAGGGCTTGTGATCTGCTGATGATTGGGTGGCCAACGCGCAGCGTCTACGAATGGTGATCGCACAATATCCCTTGACTTCTGGATGAATGAGCCTCCGCAAGACTACTTTCCATTACAGAGGCAAGAACCCAAAACGCACAAAAACACCCGAGATTTGAAGAAACAAAATTGGCGGCCAAAAAAAGTGAAAATGCTGAAATAGAGGCATGGGCAATTGCTTACTCAAGCAACTCAAAATCTCCGTGCTTATCGTCTCGGGTGCTTTTTGTTGCATGCAGCCTCTGCAGTAAGTTGCAGCGACTGAAGCAGAAACGAGTAAGAGTTCGATAAGTAGCCGTCTATCACTTCTGGGATAGGCAGCTTTTGTAGAGAGGTCTATTGGGAAATGAATAGACCCTTGCCCCTGGGGTGATAGACCCCTAGGGGTCTGTCCGAAACTGCTGGGTGCCTATACACAGGCAGGACCCCTATGTGGGACGTCTAAAGGCTCCTGACCAAAAATCCAAAACCCTAAAAACCCTTTTCTGAATTCGGACTGGACGACGCCCTGAAAAACCCTCAACCCTAAAGACCCCTCAACCCCAAACCCTAAAAACCTCTAATCCCCAAACCCTAAAAGCCCTAAACTCCAATTAACACCGTAAACCCTAAACCCTAAAACTCCGTAAACCCTTAACCCTAAAACACCCTAAACCCTGAACCCTGCCCTAAACCCCCCCCCCAAAAAAAAAAATCAAAAACGAAGCCCTAAACCCTGAAAACCTCTAAGCCCTGAACCCTGACAACCCCTACACCCAAAACCCTAAAGACCCCTAAAACCGACAAACCCCTAAACCCAAAACCCTAAAACCTCATAACCCTAGCTGAACCCTAACGCCTTAAACCCTAAACAAACCCAGACCCTAATTCCTAAGAACCCCTAAACCCTAGACCTTGAGAACCCTTAACCCTAAATGTGAAGCACAGTAGAAGTATTCGTACTGTTGATGTCCTTTCTCATGAGTATGCTTTCGAATAGTCGTGTGGCTATCATCTCCCGAAGGGCCGCTGTCCCAACCCCTCTTTTGCGAAGGTCTACGACCGGAGGCATCGTGCTCGAAGCTTGGAAAACCAGATGCTCTGGGGCCAAGCTCACTGGGAACAGGCGTGGCAGCCCGTAGGGTGGGGTTTCTTCTTCTGGTTGGTGTTCGTGGTTGGTGACATCAGTAGGGGGGTTGGGTTCCTTACTGGTTCGACTTATAGTTTCATATTGGTAGCGGAGCCTAGTTGCTCTTTAGTTAGTGGTGGTTTCAGGGTTGTAGTTTGCTTCGCGGCGTAGTGAGCCCATTGCCATGTCGAGAGACGGTGAGCTGGGTGGCGAGCACCCAGAGATGCAGGATGGAAGCCTCGATGGCTTCTCAGACCACGAGCCACAGATGACCGGCGACCCTGCAGTGGAGTCCGATAGAAGCCGAGAATACGATGAGCAAGCCGGCCAACACATTCCCCCGAGTCGTGGGGAAGCTCGGCCATGGCCAAGGAAGTTGGTCTGAGTCCGGATCCGGGCATTGGGAAGACCGCTATCATGGCGATAGTGGGTGGCATCGGGGAAGCTGGGCCACAGGGAGCACACGTCAATAATCAACGGGGACATCCCGCTTTTGCTCTCGAAGGCGGTCCTCGGCAAGTTGGGGATGATCTACGATGTGGAAAACGGGCGGGCGAGCTTTACAAACATTTGTGCCCGGGACTATGCCATGCTCGCAACTCCTTCCGGACATCCTGCGATCAGCTGTGCCTCCGGGCGGTAGTTTCTCTGACTTGCAGATCGAAGACCTGCGTTTTCAGGCGAGAGGGGAATACACGGTCTTTGCACTTGCTCACCATAGCCTTCGTACCTCCCACAACCCAACACAAAGCCCTCATTCCCGTCTACCTCCGAACCTCCGTGCCATGAGCCGCCAGGAGCCATGCACCCCCACGGCATTGTCGAAGATGACCAAAGCGCAGTTGATCAGCGAGGCGATGAGAGTCGGAACCATTGTCCACCGCAACTGGGCCACGGAGGAGATCAAGGCAGTGTTGGTGGAATACCGTGCAGCCCGCAAAGAAGTTTCGCTCCCCGAGCTGAAGATGAAGGCGGACGAGCTCAAAGTGGGACACGGGCCGAATGTGACGAAAGGAAATCTTCTGAGGATGATCCGGGAGAGCGTCAACACACCGGACCAGGAGCTGATGAAGGTGGGACAGTATCGAGGATACGAGTTCCGGGAAGTGCCGGAGTCTTATGCGAGGTGGGCGAGCGAAGAACTGAAGAACGCGAAGTCCATGGACCCCGACCTGGTGATGTTCGTCCGCTGGTGGGAGGCGAAGCAAGCTCCGAGTCACATCGCCCAAGATGGATCTCGCGACCTACGGAGGCAGCTCGTTCGATGAAGGCCCCGTACCCGAAAAGTTCAGCGGCGAGTTCGTGGGGAGTGGTGGACGATGTGAGTCCCAACAAGGGGGATCAGTCCAAGCGAGGCAAGAGATCCAATCCTGGGGAGAGTCCGCCCGAGCAGAAGGAGATGGACTCGCAGATCGACGAGGAGACCCTGGCAGAGATCAGAGCTTTGGAGACCAAATTAGCAGTCCCCAAGGACAAGGCCAAGGCGAGCACTTCCTCCTCGAAGTAGGAACCGAGCCCAGCAAGACCAGGCGCCCCGGAGGATGCTGCGGGGTGTCTGGGGTTCAGGGAAGCATCACCGAGCAGGAGTTCGTCCTCGCCTATGGGAACCAACACTCCACCTACCTCGTTCACGACAGCGTGGAGGGGGAGACCATCGATGGCTTTCTTGGCGAGAGTGCTGCGAAACAGGCCTACGAGCGCGGGGATTTCAGACCTGTCAACTTTTGTTAGAGCAAGCAGGACTTGGCATCACCAAACTTCATCGGGGCGAAGTTCTCGCTACTGGAGCTGATGGCAACGTAGAAGACGACCTGCCTGGTCCCAAGAAAACCAAAGGCTCAAGCGGTGTCTATCAGACCTTGGGCCTCTTCACCCGTGGGGGCGTGCAGGGCATCACCACAGCGACCCAGACCTCTTCCCACCTCACGAGGTACTTGAACTGCTTTGTCGACATCATCTTCCAGAAGTACGTGGACATCTTTCACTGTCTCCTTCGATGTCCAGAGTAGAGTTCATCACGACTCGAACAACCTCGGAGGTAGCTTCAACCACTCGCTGAGCTTGGGGCAGATTTCTGGAGGTGGATTGTGGATTGAGAAGAAAGGAGTCACCGAGGCGGAGACCGAAGAGGGCAGTCTGGTGTGAGAGCGCACGGGCGGAGGAGAATGGCTACCCGGACAGGTGCACGAGAACTACAAGAAGTTTCTCACTTTTGACCCCCACCTCAAGCATGCTACCCAGGCCTGGGAAGGGAACCGGTGGGGTTTGATATTCCACACTACTCGCAGCATCCTTCGTGTTGGCGACGAGCTACGAAAAGGATTGCGAAAAGTAGGATTCCCCTTGCCCAACAAGAAGTTCCTCCTTGGTTCCACTGGACAGAATGTCTCGAACACACAAAAGGGGAGACCGAGCAAAGCGCAGCGCAATGCTCTCATGCGAAGTGCCGCCCAGTTGTCCGTCCTCTTCACGATGCTCCTCTGCGCTGCAACGTCCTACCTGTGCGAAGGGCATGCTTGCGACCCAGTTCCGGATCCTATCGTCTTGTTCGAGATCGGAGGGTTCGATGCTTCGTTGGAAGCAACGGAGCTCAACAATTCGATTGTCGAGCCCATGTCATGGCAGGACTTCGTCAACCCAGAGAAGGCCGAAACGGCATATCACGTCGTGAAGGGGGCCACACCTCGAGAGCTCAGATTGCACCTGGAGGAGTTGCCCGGCCGCGCCAGCCTGGCTGCGCGCACTCTTGTTGAGGCCCACCCCGAAGGCTTTGCCAAACACTTCAGCGACTTTGTTCAGTACCAGAGCAAGGAAGGGGTCGGAGGGCCTCATTTGGTGTTGCACAGGCCCCAGGAAGGTCACAGCACTCTTCCCGGAGGAGATCGTCCCCACAGCGTATGTGTAAGCGATCCTGTGCCTCCGTCCGGACAACCGGCGATCCCCAATGTCGACCACAAGAGTAGTGGGATCACCTTCGATCCCTCCGTCTTTTCGTGAGCTCGGCAGCACAAGGGGCCCTTCGCAGGCTCCATCAGAACCTCCGTCATCCTCGTAAAGAAGATCTTCTGCGACATCTACGCTTGGCTGGGTGCGACGCGGGCATACTCAAGGCTGTGAAAGGGATGCGATGCGAAGTGTGCGAAAGCCCAAGGACCCACGGTCGCACGCCCGAGCACCCTTCCACATCTCTACAACTTCAACGATTGTGTCGGGGGAGATATTCTGTATGTCCACGATGTCAACGACAAGAAGCACACCTTCCTCAACATCGTTGACTGGGGCACCACCTACCAGGTCGTTGTGAAGCTTCCCGGGACCAAGGCCGAGCATCTTGAGAAGCTTTCAACGACTCCTGGCTCGTACCTTTCGGGCCACCCAAGTCCGTCTCTCTCGACCTTGAAAGGGGGCTTGCAGAAAGGAATCAGTCGCCTGTGCGATTGGCACAACATTGTGTCCAACATGTTGCAGCCCAAGCACATTGGCAAGCTGGCATTACCGAGAGGCATGGGGCATGGTGGAAGAACATATGGGAGCGAGTGGTCCATGAGCGATCCGTCGATGAGGGAGAGGTCGAAGTTGCGGCAACATGCGTTTCTGCTGCTAAGAACGAGCTGAGACGTCGCTGCGGGCACTCTCCTGTCTGCCGGGAACCCGAGGTCCTGAAGAGCTTATTGATCCAGATTGTGGCCAAAGGATTCCTTGGGAGACCTCGGATGACTCCCAGTTCCAGCGATTGACGGCTTTGAGGACTTCAGCAAGAGTGGCCTTCCATCATGGTCAGAATGACGACAGGTTGCGTCGGGCCCTCCTACAACGGGCCCGCACTACAAGCCGGCCTTACTCTGTAGGGGAGCCTGTTCACTTTTGGTACAAGCCCAAAGATCGGAGACGAGGTCGCTGGGCAGGACCAAGAGTTTATCGTCGGACGAGAAGGCGGAAACTTTTGGGTCTCGAGGAATGGCCGGTGCAGGCTTACGGCGCCAGAACACCTCAGACCTTCTAGACCGGAAGAAGTCGGAGAACAGAGAACAAGTCGACAAGCTGCTACAAGCCGACCTTGACGACGATGAGGCCCATGACACCGATGGTATGGTTTCCGGCGGCGAACAAGAAGAGGACCTCCTCGCCGAGTACGAGCCGTTTTTTCCCGGGGATCCTGATGTTGAAATGCCTCTACTTGGAGACGATGGGCTTGGGCTTGACCGTGGAACTGGAGAGGAGATTGCGGCGCCCAGGAGGAGGCTCAAAAGGAAGACTCGACCTGATGAGCTCGAAGGACCTGATGAAGAGCAACATTCCCTCCTGGTGTGCACTCTGCCATGCACCTCAAGCGAGATCTCACACAACGAGGCAAGGAAAAGAGACAAGAGAAAGAGTTGAGATGGGCCGAGATTTTGGAGCATGTGCGAGAAATGTTCAAGGCCGCACCCAGTGGGAGGAGCACCTCGACTACGACGCCCTGCAGCCTTTGTCAGTCGAGGACTCAGACAGGGTTCGAGAGACGGTGGATGCCTCACGCATACTTCGATGCCGATGGGCGTACAAAGACAAGAATTGGCCCAAGAGAAAAGGGGCCATTGAAGACGGCAAGCCGGACGACATCCCCTGGCGGCGCAAGTCGCGGTTGGTCATTGCTGGACACTCTGACCCGGACCTCGGTGTGTCTTCTCACCACAGACGCTCCTACCTTGTCGAGGCCCGGATTCCTTTGCATGTTGCAGGCGCTCGCCAACGGCTTGTCTAAGGAAGATCCTTGGATCGACCTCACCCCCGAGGACAAGGAAGCCGGAGTCCAACGAGAACTCCCACATTCTCAGCGAGAAGTTCGCAAAGCTCGAAGGGCAAACTCGAAGGTGTGGCCTCCCAAACTGGAGGACTTATCCTTTTCGCTGATCGACGATGTCTCCGAGGGCGCCGGAGTCCGGTCTCAATCGTGGACTGGAAATCTCGTGCTGGACAAAGAGTTTGCCGGAGCACTTTTGGAGCTGAGGCCCAAGCACGCGCAGAAGGGCTAGAATGTGCACAGCACATGAGGTCTTTCTTCGAAACTCTTTGCGCTGGCTGTCTAGTCGATGTCCACTCCGCTCGTATGCCCATCTTGTGCATCAGTGATTGTAGGTCCCTTTATGATCACCTTCATCGGGAGGGGGTTCCAAAGACCCCTAGTGACAGAAGACTTGCTGTGGACCTCGCAGCCTTGAGAGTTTCTTTGCGCGAAGAGAAGTGGGGAGCAAAGCTCCCGCTTGCCTGGGTTCCCAGCCCACTTCAGTTCAGTGATATCCTTACGAAGCCTCAAGACCCACGACAATGGTGGGATGCGCTGAAGGAACCAATCCTTTTGCCAGCTTCTACCGCAAGGGAGGACGGCACGGTCAATGACCGGATACCCCGGGAGAAGGTAAGCAGTGTGAAGCACAGTAGAAGTACGTTGATGTCCTTTCTCATGAGATTGCTTTCGAATAGTCGCGTGGCTATCATCTCCCGAAGGGCTCGCTGTCCCAACCCCTCTTTTGCGAAGGTCTACGACCGGAGGCATCGTGCTCGAAGCTTGGAAAACCAGATGCTCTGGGGCCAAGCTCACTGGGAACAGGCGTGGCAGCCCGTAGGGTGGGGTTTCTTCTTCTGGTTGGTGTTCGTGGTTGGTGACATCAGTAGGGGGGTTGGGTTCCTTACTGGTTCGACTTATAGTTTTAGTTTCATACTAAACCCTAGACCTTACAAACCCCTAAACCCTAAACCCGAAAAAGCCCTAGACCGTACACCCCACAACGCTCCAAGCCTAAAACCCATAAACCCGAAGCCCTAACAACCCTAAAAGAACCTAAGCCCTAAACCCTAAAAACAAACCCTAAACCATAAAAACCCAAAAACATCTTGAACGCTAAACCCCAAACCCTAACAACCCCTAAGCCCTAAACCACAAAACTCCTTAAATACTAAACCCTTAAAGCCCTTAAACCCCAAAAAAAGAGGTAAACTCTAAACCCTAAAACCCCCTAAACCGCAAGCCCGCAAAACCCTTAATTAAACCCTAAACCCTGAGACCTTGAAACCTTAACCGTAAAAACCTCTACATCCCTAAACCCGAGAAAAACTCCTAAGGCCTAACCCAAAAAAAACCTCTTCAAAACTCCGAAACCCTAAACACAAAAAGCTTTCAACCCTAAAAATCACTCAGCCCTAAACCCTAAAACCCGCAAACCCTAAAGCCTGAGACCCTAAGCCCTACACCCTAAACCCTAAACCTTAAAAACCCCTGGACCCTAAACCCCAAAAACCCTTTTTTTACTTTTCTGGTGAATGCGCGTCCCAAAACCCTAAGCCCTACACGGGGAGACAACCAAGTAAGGGGAAAGGGAACAGAACTCTCACCCCTAAAGGCAGCCCTAAATTTTCCTTAAGTTTCCCAAACCAAAAGCGGAGAACACCAAGAGGGGAAGAGGTCAGAGGGAAAGGCTTGCCTAAGCACCAAACACCAGACCCCCCGGACTTACCCTTTTCTACACAGCCTGCTCCTGTGGCCATGTCATCTTGAGCCACATATACGGGGTTCATTGCCCCTTCCCAACCTATACAATTTAACCTCCGCCGTAGCCATTGGCTCGCAAACTATGGTAAAACGTCATCCAGGACGTCTTGGGTGTCCAATGCCTTTTCAGACAAACCTCTTCTCCATTGAGGATTTCCCAACCCCTAAAGGTAAACCTTATAATAGTCCTCATCCTTTCTTGACACATTGGCCACATTGGTCACTTCCCAATTCCTCCACCTTATCCCAGCCTACTTCAGCATAGAAGGCCATAACAGAAAGGAGAAAAACTGCATCGCGAACGTCCACCCAGTTGAAAAAACCAGTCCGCCCACCTATAGCAGTAACTTCTTTGCCAGACGTCCAGCTTCACAGGCTCGATGCAGCCGCATCAGGTTTCGATTCCAACCAACGGATCGGTCAAGTATCTCTGGATCGAGGATAACACCCCCTCTCTTCTTGCTTCATCTACAGCATTTCGCTCTTGTTCAGGACGAAGAGAAGAATTTCCAGATTCCTTGGTAACACCGGCGTCGAAACTCCTTTTGGAGGAGCGCTCCCAGATGCTGCACAGGACTCCCTGGCTTCTCCTCTACTTCGCCGCCTTCAGGATCCTCAGGTTCCTTCGATGGTTGTGTCCAAAGGCTTCTCTGTACTTCTGGGCCTCTTCTTCGGAATAGCTACCACCACCGAGCCAGAATCCTTTGCAGCGCCTACTCTCCTCTTCTTCTTGAGCTTTTTGCTCTCATTTTCAGAAATAACCTTTTCCACTGGAGCATCGACATTAGCAGCCGGTTCATCCTCCAACTGGACCGTTTCCTTAGCATGAGCAGACTCCTCCTCTTCTGGAAGATCTTCAGGAAGCCCAGATTCTCGGCGCCGTTTCCTTGATCCGCCGTCCGAACCACCACCACCCTCCAGGCAGGCCTTTTTTGATACCAGATTCGTAACTCATCTACGGAGCTTTCGATCTCGGCCAAACTAACATCGTGCCTTTTAACCACCTCATGCAGCTCCTCCAGCGACGAAAGAAGTCTGTCAGTCCAAGTACACCACTCGGCATCTAGATCCTCCTTTTCGCCAGCTATTCCCAACAACTTGAAGATCGGTTCACCTTCATAGCGATCAACATTGTCCTTTGTTTTGGACATAATAGACACCGCCTCAGCCAGGAGCTCGCACGCCCGCGTATCATCATCATAAACCATAAAGTCCTCTTCCATCTCCTCTTCTTGCCTTTCAGGAGAAACACCTTGTCCTCTTGATTCAGCACGTCTTCGCGGCAGCGTTGTTGGCGACCTTGGCCTGTCAGCTCGTCTCCCACTTTCGTGAACGAAGACGCATTGGTCTCCCCGACGACACCTTCCAGTTAACCGGAACTTCGTGCAAATCACTCCAGTCGCATCGTGGGAGTAGCGGCAATTCTCTGCAGCGAAGCAATCACGTCCACCAACAAAATACTTGCACCAAAAAACTTTTTCAGCACCATCTGCTCTCTGGTATGAACAAACTTGCAGTCATCACCAAACCTGCACTTCTCACCAGCATTGTACCACAAGCAAATATTTTCTTTCGCAGCTCTTGACGCTCCGCCTCATGACGATCCATCTCGTGATTCATTTCTTTTACAGGTACAGTTGCAGTAAGGTGCTTCTGAACCACCTTGGAAAAACCACCCTGAACGCCTGGCACTCGTGGCATGGATTTCCTCCAGATCCCTGAGCCATCAATGACCAGTCCGCGCCTCTTTGATTTCTTCAGGAAAAGGTGCTGGATCCCAAGGTTACCTCCCTTGTTGAGGAGTGAACTTCGCCTCAAAATGCCACTTCCCAGAAACCCTTCCACCACAGAACCGAACCTTCACAATTAGGCCCTGCATCCACTTCATCCAGCCGATCTTCTGATGTCCAGGACATTGCCTGTTCCACCTGCTCAAGAGACCCGACGCTTGTCGGACCTTCTCCTGCAAAGCCTTTTGCGCTGTCAAACAACCTCCCAGTCTGTCTCAGCGGGTTTGTGCGCTCCCACACAGCCACAGCTTGATTTCTCCTCCGCAGCACCATTGACGAAGATGACAGCGTTGGTTGGCGATGGGGTACTCTCCTCAACTGCGACGCGAGACCTCAGGCGCTCTGCTAGCAGTTCCTAAATCCGTCGCTGTCTCCTTTTCAGGAGCATCACCAATCCCTTCATTGAGATCCGTTCCAGACTGTCTAGAAATCTCCAGCACTGACCCAGACGGGTCCATTTCTTCTTCTTCTTCCATTCTCCTCCACAACACCTCCAGCTCATCAGCGCACGTAGCAGCTCTCATGAATTCAATCAGAGAGTCCCGGCCACTCTTCCACAAGAAATAGGTCCAAATAACCTCCCCTTGTCCACCAATGTTGCAGAGCGGGTAAACGACTGCAGCTAAGAAACCCATCAGCTTGACGTGATCCTCCATTTCTGGGTCGTGAACCCATTCGTGCGCAATACCCTCCATTGCTCTGCCGAAGGTCTCTATGGACGACAACACTTCAATCAGCTGCGGCGCTAGAAGAACACCCATCACCGACAAGGGATAATTCCCCACCGGAGGTAGACATGGACTTTTACGAAAGTAATCATGCAACGCAGCCGTAACGCCCATCTTGTTGGGACCTTCCAGTATTCATCCTTTCGTTTGATTCATCCACCTCCACCAGAGCCTTGAGAACTTCAGAAGCCAGACCCGAAACTACAGCCCACATCGTTCGATTAGCCAAACTTCGTTTCATAACCCAGGCAGTTGTCGGTGACTGAATCAGCACTCCAGGGTCACCTCGGACCACCACCCCAGTCAGGTTTTGGATCGTGGGAGGAACCACCTCCCCCACACCTGAGCCATCCGATGAAGTGCTAATAATCAAACTCCGATCCATCTTGTTCACACCCTTTTTCTTGATAGGCACTCTTCCATCAGAAACCTTCCAGTAAATACGAGCACATAAAGCACGACAAACATTCAATTTTCCACATCTCCTCGCCTCAGTGCTCATATATATTTTCCACTGTCCCCTTTGGAGAGCACCGCTCCCATCTCCACCATTTCGCTGTCCAGTCCCATCACTAGCAAGCTGCTCCATATTTCCATTCCTTCCATCTTCCTGTCCAGCCACTTACCCAGAAAGAGTTGCATCTGCGGAGCCCTCAGCCAGCGAACCACCAAGGTCAGAACCATTTCCTGCCCCTTGTGAGACCACAGCACGGTTTGAAGATCCAGAAGCCGAAAAACTTTGGCGGGTCTCCCCCCGCGACGAACCGTCGCGCTGCACGCCACCAGCGCTTGACCCTTTCTCCGCTTTGGAGCCACGAGAACCACCCTGCGAAACATTGCCGCGTTTTGCAGTCCTGTTAGAGGCCACACTGTCCTTCATGGCTTGATGCAGCAGGTGTACATTGACACCTTCCTCTTCACTAGAGTCCCCTAGCATACGTAACAAAGTCAATTGCTTGACCATCATC